GGACCCCAGTGTCCAGTGACAGCTGTGGAGGGATTGAGGCCTGCTAGCATACTTTGTCACATTCCACTCTTTTGGATTGTCACAATACGAGTGCAAGACACCAGCATTGTGACACACTTTGATTATAGAAAAGCCTTATTGATCATTAACATTTGCATCAAACAATTAATGAAAGCAAAATCAAGTTTACAGCAGTAAACAGATGATTATCAGTGGAAATGGACAAAAGATACCTCAGACATACATCTCTGATGATACTGTAAGTAACTATAGCATTTGGGGGAGTGCAATCATGCAGGATGAGTCATAAGCTATGACTCAGCTATTCACTTTTGGAAACAGCTCCAAGGAGATAGGACAAAGGTCAAAAAAGAAAATTTTGTACAAAGATGTTTGCTGCACTCTCTCTATACTAGGAAGATATTTAAAATAGTCTATCAACTAGCCAGGAGGGCAACACATGCCTGTAATCCCAGCGGCTTGGGAGGCTGAGGCAGGACGATTTCAAGTTCGAGGCCAGCCTCAGCAACTGAGCGAGGCCTTAAGCAACTCAGTGAGACTCTGTCTCTAAATAAAATATAAAAAGGGCTAAGGATGTGGCTCAGTGGTTAAGCGCCTCTGGGTTCAATCCCTGGTACCAATTTAATAATAATAATCCTATCAACTAAGTAAGTCCTTAACAAACCATAATATGAAGGTACAAAGCAGAAGTATGGATGACCCTTCAAAATGCTACAAACTATATTCATGTATGCATTTTATATATGAACTAATAAATGAAAGTAAAGGTAGAATACAATAGATTCAATATATACTTGCACACAGATGAAAATGTATACAGGTGTACATATATCATGCCATGAGTGAATCGGGAATGATGTAAATAATTGGTATTTAAAGTTCTCGGAATTTTTAATATTAAGACCAAGACAAGCTTCAACTTGAGAGAGAGGAAGTGAGGGAAGAGATCTAGAGGTATCTGTGGATGCTTGAGTGACACCCAGGAGAACCCTATGAGTCTCAAAGGCAGAGGCTAGGCAGGACAGGGTTCTCATCCTCGACACTGCCGTCATTTGGGGCCCAACATAGTAGGATGATTACCAGCACTGCTGGCTTCTATCCACTAGATGCCAGCAGCACCCTCCTACTCCTGACAATCAAAATTACCTCCAGGAAGTCTAAGAGAGTAGATTGAGAGGCCAAATCACAGTTAAGGACTGGTGAGAATGATAAGCAGACACCAACTCTCCACCTCAGCTGTGGGCAGGAGGCGGGAAGCGATAAGGATTGGGGGAGCCAGAGACTGTGTGCCCTTCTAAAGCAGCCAGTCCCTATTCACCTGGAGATCCAGAATGACAAATCCTGACTTTTTTTAAGATTCACAGCTAACTCAAAGTTAAAACATAATGCATCCAGAGCCTCACATGCGTCAGCTACAGCAGGCTTCCACGCACTTTCTGCAAGGGCCAGATGGTGAGCATCACAGGCTCTGCAGGCACAACCGTCTCATTTGCCTTGACAGGGAGAAGCAGCCACAGATGATGAATGGACAATGAGTAAGGCTGGGTTCCAATGAAGCTTTATTTATGTGCACTGAAACTTTAACTTCATATGTTTTCACTTCATGAAACATTCTTTGATTTTGTTTTCAACTGTCTAAAATGCCAGTACCATTATCAGATGATAGTCCCACCGAAACAAGGCCAGGATTTGGCTCAAGGGCCATGGTTGGAGACGCCCTGGGCAGTAGTGTGCCCGCAGCAGTACCAGCAACTAAAGGCATCCTGGAAAGGAGGACAGGTCAGCCCTGGGTGGCCAGACACCCCAGCACACAGGGAGGAACAGCAGGCCTCAGAGGGGCCTATGCTAGGGCTCCTTTCTCAACTCTTCCCCTCCTGCCTCTTCCAAAAGCCCCACACAGTATCTCCACTTTGCTGCCTCCAGGACCAGAAGGAAGGCTTCATTGTACAAAAGTAAATAAATAAATAACACAGATTGGTTTCTCTGACTTTTCTTGACGTTTTTTTTTTCTATTATTGTAAAAAAGAGGACACCGTTGGGCACCAACCCAATTGTTTTGCAGGGTTTCCAGAGTCCTAGAGAACTCTTTAAAGAGGGATTTTGTCTGTTTTTAATGACTTTGCTAAAACGCAAGTCTCCTTGTTTGTGTCCTCACAATGCCTCTTTGACAGAAAACACAGATGGCCTTTCTCTAATCACAGAAGCAGCCCAGGATTCTAGGAGTGGGGAGACTTGGGGACTTGATCCAGAAGAAGAAGCCACCAGTGGTTTCTGAGCTTGGAGGCCTGGCCCTGAGTCTGCGCTGGAGAGCTGAGTGACTGGCTTCAGTGAGGCCACCTTGGGTCTACCTAGAGCAAAGCAGAGAGCCTCAGCTCCCTACCCCTGGAAGGCAACGAAAGTAAACAGGGCAGATGATGGAGGGAGGCTGATGGGAATGGAGAGGAAAGAAAAGAAAAAAGAAAAAAAACCAAGAAAATAAAGAGGAAGAGTTGAAATGATGCTCTGGGAGTAGGGGGAAGAAGCAAAAGACAGGAGGCCAGAAGTGAGAAAAGGGAAGAAGAAATGAGACAGAGGAAGGGCTGGGCGGCATCTGCAAACTACCAAGTCAGCCTCAGTGACTAAGAAGGTGCGGGCAGAAAGCAATATTTTCATCTTGGAATCCAGTCACTGGAGCCATTTAGGATCCTTCTCACTCCCTAGCCATCAAATTATTGAATGTTCAGATTCAAAAGCCTCATCAGGTGCATGCCTGTAAACCCAGTGGCTTGGGAGGCTAAGAAAGGAGGTTCGCAAGTTCAAAGCCAACTTCAGCAACGGCGAGGCACTAAGCAACTCAGTGAGACCCTGTGTCTAAATAAAAGACAAAATAGGGCTGGGATAAGGGTCAGTGGTCGAGTGCCTCTGAGTTCAATCCCCAGTATTTATAAAAAAAAAAAAAAAAAAAAAAAGCCTCACCAGATATAAGACAGACAAGATGGTGAGGTTTGAGGCTCTCCACCCCCACACACCTCCCACAGGATCTCACTGAGTTGTTTAGGGCCTTGTTAAATTGCTGAGTCTGACTTTGAACTCACAATCTTCCTGCCTCAGCCTCCTGAGCCACTGGGATTACAGGCGTGCAGGTACCCCTTTTGTTTGGCTTCTTTCTCCTCCCAGGCTTGAAAGCAGGATGAAGGGGTAAGGGGGTGAGCTAGAGGCCAACGGTCTCATACCCCAATGCCTGCTTCGTGCTTCTCTCACTCACAGGTTTACCAGCAGTCACTGTTCTGAAAACTAGGCCTGAAAAGCCCTGGGACTGGGTCTGCAGCCACCTTAGACCTCATGAGGATTCTCATTTGAACATAATGAGGAGGGAGACAGGGTTGGGAGAGCAGCCACACCTTCCTGTGCCCATGGTAAGAATGCAGCTGAGGACAGTAGCAGGTGACTCCATAGGGACAGGAGGAGATACAGGCACAAACATAAAACCAGCAACAAAACCATGGCTACAAAAATACATGATCCCAGAGGATTTCACTGAGTGGCTACCCTACCCCATTGTGTTCCATTTGAGAGTGTTCCATTGAACACTCTCAGCATCACTCCCAGAGAGGACCTGGAAGGTCAAAGTCCCAACTGTGACCGAATTACAAACCCAGAGGAACTCGGAAGTCACCATATTGGCCCACCAGATTTGAAATGCCGTGCACTAGCAATTAATTTTAGTTATAGGAAAGTAAAGCAATATTTTTGCACCTAAGTTAGAAGCCTGTGAAGTTCATATCTGCAACACAAGTACTAACTTCTAGAAGTCTCTCTAAAAAAATACTATCAGCCTTTCTGGCTGAAAATGCTGGGTTCATGGCCCTTTAGACTGCTCAGTCATTTCCTGGCCATCCCTGTATCCCAGGCTACATGCTCTTTTCCCCCACCATGCAGGCCACAGTCTCAGCAAGGAATCCTGAATCAGCACTTTCACCAAAGGCTGCACTAATTGTCACGAGCTCTGTGCTTCGCTGGAGCAAAGGAGAAGTCCTTGTGATGGAGTTGCATTGCATGTCCCAAGGTCTTGCTCAGCCCCTGCTGGGAAGAGGACTTTCAAGGGTGTGCTCAGTAAGCATTCCTGGGCTCTGAACCAGTGTGAGGGGTCATCATCCCTATACAAAAACCACTCAATGTTGGGTGCCTTTTTACTCCCAGGCATGGGAGCAAGATGGAAGGGCAATAGAAGCTGGGAAATGGCCTGTAGGCTGGGACAGGAATTCTGTTCCTTTGCTCCAGCAAAGGTAAAGAGCTCAGGATATGGTTTGGTGACAGAGTGCTTGCCTAGCAAGTTGAGGCCATGGGTTCAATAAAATAACCAATACAAAAAAAAAAAAAAAAAACAGGGTGAAAAGTTCTGGGTGGGATGTTGCTATACACACTTGAAATTTAGCAAGGACTATAAGGAGGCTCAGGCACACCATTAGAAAATTCTACTCCCATTTCTAGGCCTCTGTGTTGAGAAGAGTAAGATATTAGGGCTACGTGGGAAGAATAGAACACAGGTTCCCACCAGACCACCAAGCACCAACCAAAAAAATCTTCTGGCACAGTCCCTCTGGGAACTATAAGGGATAGCCCTATAGCAAAGGCTGTGACCATGACTCAATTCCTAGGGAGACTAGATGTCCACCTAAGAAGTCTTTTGAGTTCAGAACCTGGGTCTTCATTTTTAGTCAATGTGTCAAGGAGTCCTTCAGTGGAGCTTATTACCTGAACAAAAGAAAATAATTTCTTTTCCTCTACAAAGCACTCAGGCCTACCATGTCTCTTCTTCTCCCCAGCAAAAGTTCACACCTGTGCCAGGCAAGCCCAACTATTAGCTCAGGGCAGGGGGAATTTCTTCAATCCAGGCAGAATGCAGAAGGGGCCAAAGAAGCGCTTCTTGCCAAGTCTTGATATCTTCTCTAGGCCAGGTCATCCACACTGAGACTGAGGGTCTCCTACCATGATGGCCTTTAGACTTCTGTCTTGGTTTGGTCTGGAAGTTTTTCATGCACAAGAAATTCTCTGGTTGTTACTGAATTTTTCAAATATGGATTTAATGCTCCTTCCTCATAGAAATAGTCTGGTCCTAAACTTTCACCAGAAGAGAGAAGTTGCTCTTCAACTTCTGAAGAGTTATCTTCTGACATTTCTGAGAGTTGGGATTTTCTGGAAGGAATCTCAGTTAAAAACTGCGAACTCTTTTCTGGAGGACAGTCAGGCCTGTTGGGGGAGGTTACATACTCATTCTTTTCTCCTCCCCAAATGTTTTCCTGGCCCTTTTTAGCTTCTTCTATGGACACCTCTTCCAAAAAATTCTCAAAGTTCACCACCAACTTGTCAATAAGGTCACTGGGAACACAATATGATTTTAGGATGCTATCTTCTGTGTTCACAGAGTCATCAAATTCCTTAAGATTTGGCTTATTCTGGAAAAGAAAAAGGGACATACCCCTCATTGAACTTGGGTCACCAAAGTCCCAACCCCTCAAACAGCATTCCACCTTCCTCCCTGGCTCAGAAGTGATGGCCAACCATGTGAGCTTGGCAAGAGTGAAGCAATAGCTCCTGAGAAATAGCACCTTGTATTCAAAGAAGTCTTCCAGAGAGCTCAAGGCTATTTTCCACACAATGTTCACAAAATCCCAGGCAAGATGGGAGTACCAAATTTAGAAGTTTTGGAGATGGAAAAACTATATCCCTGACAGTCCTGCCCAATTCCACCAGAAAAATCAAAGGTGGTCTCACTGCAGGGATGTGTCCTTGTCATCTTGTATCCCCAGGATCTTGCCCAGGCCTGATACACAGTAGGCCATTAATCAGTGCTTGCTGAGAGCTGACTTGCAGATTATTCAAAAAGCACTTCAGTCATCAGACCACACTGCCTATGAATTCATTTATTCTCTAGATAACTTTCAATAAGTAGAAAAGTGAAGAGGGTGACTTAAGACTGAAGAGGGAGAAAATAGAAATTTCATTTTCACCAAAAATGCCCATGCCACAGAAGAATTCTGAGATGAAATAAGGGCTAATATTTGTAATGCCTGTAACAAGGAAAAACTGGTAATAGTCTTTCCACAATAAAGTTTTAAAGGTTATTATATTTGATGGGGCCTATTCCTACTTAAGCAAGAAATTATACCTTAGAAATTTCATAACAATTTTCAACATAAAAACTTAGAAACAGGAGGGTTTCTACTTAAAGAAAGTATACTAGAAAACTCTAACCCCCAATTACATAAAGTGACTCTAATTTTCTCAGTCTGAGAAAAATGATTTGAGGCAGCCTTTGGATCGCCATGATTGTCACATCCCCTCAGGGTCTCTAGGTGGTCCCTAGATTAATTTGTTCTTGTCTGCTTTTTAAATGACCTCAAATCTTATAGCGAAGCTACCTCCTACTCCTCCCTCTCCTCCCCCTACTTTTTTCTCTTTCTTTACTTCTCTCTCTCTCTCTCTCTCTCTCTCTCCCTCTCTCTCTCTCTCTCTCTCTCTTTCTTTCATTAGACTATCAAGTCATTGAGGATAGGGTTGGGGTCTTTCTTCAGCACCAAGCTTTACAAGACCAGCCCCATGCTGAGAACACACTGGATCCTTGCTAATAAGTCCTTTCCTCTTGTGCAGAGTACAAGGTCAAAGTCATTCCAGGAAGGCTGATTCCATCTGCCCTACCAGATGTTCCCTGGAACTTTCCAACCTTGAGTTCTCTCTATATGAACCCTAAATAAAAGCCCAGCTCATGACTTCCCCACAGCTCCACTCATCTGGTCACTTCCCACACCAGCCCACAATGACTTCCTGAACAGAAACAGTGGTGTTTGTTTACCTTGCAGTCATTTCCGTGCCACGAGGCTATACTACTTTCAGCAGGGTTGGGGACAATGGGCCAACACAGGTGAGTCAACTTGCTAATGAGAGATAAGAAAAAAGAAAAGAAAAACCAAACAGGAGGTAAGTTCACAAAGTGTCTTACACATGCTGCATGGCTGTGGCAGAACAGTGAGGTTTGCTAAAGAGTACTGCATGCTCCCCACTAACTAACTAAGAGCAAGCTGCTGATCTCCTGGCAGAGATGGGGAAAGTGAATTAGTTTGGGAGGGAAGTTGTAAACTATCTATGAAATGTGATGGGAGGAGACCTCTCCCCTTGTAAAGCTGTTCCTTTTTTCCTTTCTCTCCCATCCCTGAGTCTTTACACCTGTACTGATGCTGAAAACTGCACCATCACAGTCACTCCTTTGAGTTATTCCCTTGGAAAGGCAACACTTTTAAGCTACTACTTTAGTGGATTCCGATTTGCAGCACCATTGCAAATGCAAAAAGAGCTCACTGCAAATGCAAATTATTGGGCTTCACTCCAGAACCCAGAATCTGAAACCCTTGGGGGCAGGGCTCAATTCTGATGGAGGCTAAAAATTGAGAAAAATTAGTCAAGTGTATAATGTACAAACAGTTTGTGGATGATTTGGACACAATCTATGGTTGGTAACTGAGGTTGACATTAGCTTAATTATTAACTAAACACAGCTGCTTGACCTACAAGTGTCCAATGTGGAGAGAGAGCTCTACTAAGAAGGACCTTCAGGGAAGCATGAGGCTCACTGTGAGGAGAAACACAAGATCCTGAAGACAGGCTTCCTTCTCCACACTAGACAGGGTAAGAAGGACAAATGTCCCTGCAGCCAGCTCTTCAACACTGTACCACAAGCAAGGGACAAAATTGTAGTGTCATACAACTGGTCAATGTTCAAATCCCAGAAGTACAAAACTCCCTGCTCTGCCTCTAGTCTCATATGGAAGAGCAGCCGACACTCCCTGCCTCAGAAAGGCCTTAACCTAGTGTGTGGAGCTGTGCAGGTGTGAAAGTCCTCCTGATTGGTCACAATTCTTATGAACCACAGAAAGTGACCCTTAATGATCTCAATAAATATCTACCAATATCTTCATGGTGGCCTCTTGTATCATGTGCCCATGATGTCTTCCACCCTTTTCCATCCCTAGGTTTTAAAGCACCTACTATTACGTATAAACTCACGTTGCTTTTTTGAGACCAGAGGCCACAGTCAGGACCGTGAATATAAGAAGTCCTCCTCCAACCAGAGAAGTTATAAGGACAATCTCAAAGACACCTTTGGGAAAAGGAGAAGAAAAGCCTTTTGCAAGCCAAGTTCTTCACTTTCTTGACAAAAATCAAAGATTAACTTTTTCTTCTAGTAGCTCATCAACATTTCTTATTAGTTTTCTTTCAAATAAATTCAATTTCTTTCTACTTAAAAAAAAAAAAAAACCTGAGATTCATGGTTCCCCACCTAGCTGTCTCCTCCCTGCTAATGTGACAGATGTTATGACATTGTATTTGATAGACATGGAGCTTACCAAAGCCATCATCCAACTTCATTCACTCAACAAATATTTACTGAGCCTCTGTCATTTACCAAACACCATTGTGAGTAATAAAACAAACACAATAAGCAAGAAATAGAAGATGCCTCCTCTCAGGGAGTCTATGTTCCCATACCTGGATTAAGACAATAAATAACAAGACTGATTCAGATAAAACAGAGTAATAGAGTAACTAGGATAAGGTGGAAAGCAGGATAGAAACATCAGATAGGGTGACCAAGGAAGAAGCCACATGTGAGCTGACCTTAACAATGAGAGGGACCTGCCATGCGAAAGTATAGAGAAACGCATTCCTGGGAGGAACAAAAGCTTTGAAGCAGGAGCAAATCAGAGAACACAGAAGCAGAAGTGACAGAAAGTGAAATCAGCAAGGGACAAATGATGAGGGACCCTGAAAGCCATGGGGAGGAGTTTGGATTTCATTTAAAATAGAAGGGCAGGAGCTGGGGCTGGGGCTCAGTAGTAGAGTGCTTGCCTAGCATGCATGAGGCACTGGGTTTAATCCTCAGCACCATATAAAAATAAAATAAATATATTGTTTCCACCTAAAACTAAAAAAATAAATAAATATTTTTAAAAAATACAAGAGCAGGAGCTGGTGGGTTTTAAGCAGGGACTGTAAACCTGGGAACTATGGCTGCTATGTAGAGAATAGATTGTAGAGGGTCAAAGATGGAAGTGGGGTGCTTTATAATCCACAGACTAAGGAACTTCTAGGCTTCAAGACAGAATCTTGCCTTCAGTTTGAACCTTGGAGAAAATTCCATGAGCAGATACAATTTTGTGCCTAGTGTTTTGAAAATACAACATGGGTTTTTAAATGCTCTTATGCAGCAAGATCAAGAAGAGTTCCAAGAAGGCAAAGTTAGTCCATGAAACAGAACATGTTTTCTTTGTAAAGACACATGCTACATTTTCCAGAGTCCTATTTTATCTTCTAAGAATGTAAACAACAAGAGACTTCCAAAAAAACTTCAAGCAGACAATTTTTAGCTTACACAAATTATTGCAAAACTTTGTAAGATTCCTCATTTTTAATCTAAAAGATTGTTCATTCCTTAAAGTTTTAATATGTACTTAAAAATCTAATCTATGTCACTCAAGGACTTGGTGAAATTAACAGTTCCTTCTTCTCCTTCATCTCCCTCCTTACTTTGTCTCCTCCCTGTCCCTCTTGAACATCTGCATTAATAAGCCATCACATGAAGATACATTATTTGTTATATTTGTTAAATTCTTCTTCTCTATTTTAGATGTAAAATCTGGTAAGGTGAGCAAATTATATACTTTCTTGCTCAAAAAATTTCACAAAGGCTAAAGTTAAATTCTTTCTTGTGAGTCAGTGGTTCTTAATCAACCAAGGTTTTCTCTCCAAAGCCCTACTGTGAAGTAACTTCTCACGTTCAGAAACTGATGACCATGACCTTGAGGACAGGCATAGGAGCAGGTATGATGCTCAGATTGAAGTTGGTATTAAATTTATCACTTCTCCTAGAGGTGATCAGGGCTGCCATGGGAAGGAACAAGATAACCAGTCTTTCTAAATTCAACTCTCAATTTGCCTGCCCCCCACCTCTCTCTTGACCTATATGCCTGCCAAGAAGGCAAATGAACCAGAGAACAGATGGTTCTTCTCACTTAGGTACTGTCCTTTCATCTGACTTCCCTTCCCTTTGGGAAATACTACTTCTAAATAACCTACCATAAATGCCAAGAAGGATACTCACTGAGGGACGATGTCCTGAAGTTTATCTCCGTCCCATTTTTCCCCCCAGCTCTGGTGCTGGCCATGACACGAACAGTATAAGAGGTCTTTCGTGTCAGAGATTCCAGGTCATATTGCTGGACGCTGGAGCTGACTGTCTTGGCTAAAGGAAAAATACAGAAATCAAGTACCACTGTCAAGTGGACTGAACATTTCATTTTAGTAGCACCAAAATAAGAGCATTGGAACCCATACTTCCATCACTTATTCCAACCCCTATCCACGACCTGCTTAAAATTAGCCTGTCAACATGGACCAAAGACCTAAATATAAGAGCTAAAACTATAAAAACTCTTAGAAAACAACATAAGGTAAATCTTCATGACCTTGAATTTCACAATGCTTTCTCAAATATGATGCCAAAAGTACAAGCAACAAAAGAAAAAATAGATTAAACATAACTTCATTAAAGTTAAAAGGTCTTGTTCATCAAAAGACATACCAAAAGAATAAAAGACAACTCACAAAACTGGAGAAAATATTTGCAAATCATTTGTTTAATAAGAAGTTTATATCCGCAACTATAAAAAATTTTTGTAACAGCAACAAAAAGACAATCTGATTTTAAAATCGACAACAAGATTAAAGATAGATTTCTCTGAAGAAGATATACAAATGGCAGACAACTACATGAACAGACTGTAACAGTAGAGATTAGAGAAATGTAAATAAGTGAGAAACCACTTCATACCCACTATGATAGCCATAATAGTTTTGGTTTTTGTTTTTTTTTTAATGATAAGTAAGAAGCGTTGGCAAGGATGCAGAGAAACTGAAACCCTATACATTTCTGGTGGGAATGTAATCACTGTGAAATATGGTGTGGTGGGGGCTGGGGCTCGGGCTGGGGCTGTGGCTTAGCAGTAGAGTGCTCACCTAGCACATGCAAGGCACTGGGTTCGATACTCAGCACCATATTAAAAACATAAATAAATAAAATAAAGGTATTATGTCCAACTACAACTAAAAAAATATTTAAAAAATAATTTGGTGGTGTCTCAATAAGCTAAAGCACCATTCAGCAGTTCCATTCTGAGGTATACACCCAAAAGAACTGAAAGCAAAAACCCAGATATTTGCACATCAATATTCATAGAAGCATTATTCATAGGATCTATAGGTCAAACAACCCAAAGCCTCATCAAACAATGAATGTGTAAACAAAACATCAAATAACCATACAATGAAATATTATTCCATCATAAAAAGGCCCTAAGGACTCATTAATGCTATAACATAGAAGAAGTTTGAAAGCCGCATATTGTATGACTTTATTTATTTATTTATTTTTATTTTTCAACATTTTGCAGTACTTAGGATTGAACCCAGGGCATTGTGCATGCTTGGCAACCACACCCCAGCCCTAATTATATTTATATGAGATGTTCCTTAACAGGCAATACATAGAAACATAAAGCAGCTTGGTGAATTCCAGAGGCTATAAGAAGTAGGGGATAGGATATGACTGATTAAAGGATACAGAGTTTCTATTTGAAAGAGAATAGAAAAGTTCTGGAAATAGGGGTGATGGTTTCATAATATTGCAAATATTATTAATGCTAATAAATTGTACAACTTGTTTAAAAGGTTAAATTTTATGTTATGTGTATTATACCTTATCCTAGACAGGAATCTAAGCATATCCCAAAATTTAAGATATCAGGAGATACTGTAGACTCAAGAAAAAAGCACAGCATAGTGGTGGGCAGTAGAAGTAGTGGTAAAGAACCTTGAAAGTAAGTGCCATCAAAACAGGGGATGTCCCTCTGACATGTGCTTTTTTTTTTTTTTCCTTTTTGCTCGTGAGTTATAATCATATATAACAGTGGGATTCATTGTTGCCTATTCATACATACACACAATATAACAATATAACTTGATCCAATTCATTCTCCAGTCTCTCCCTTATCCTCCCTTCCTCCCATCCCTGGTCTCCTTCCTCTATTCTACTGGTCCTATGCCATTCTTTAAGCCAGGCACACCTCTCCCAGGAATAAATGATCAGGGGGTAAAATCACTCAAAGCCTGTTCAAGATAATTATATCAAATTTCTGCCATTCCTATAGGCCTCTTAGGTAATCATTTCACTCTTATTTAACCTCCAAACTCAAGAGGGACCCAGTTTTCAGCAAAGCTCAAAGGAGCTAAGTGATTCATGCAAGGTTGCTGGTTACAACCATAGGAGCTACCCCTCCAAGTCTATCCACATCATCTATCTGAGGAGTTATGTTTCTTCAACTTGGTCATGAGCATACTTACAGAATTCTTTTCCACCTTCAGCTTGGTAAAATATGGTGTAGTTGCTGATAAATCCTCTTCTCTCACTCTTGGGAATCTCTTCCCATGTAATTGTAACTGTGTTCACACCAATATTTTCTGCCTTGATTACAGGACCCCTCTCTGGAGCTTGAGAGGACAGAAAGATAAATTACCAAATGGAAACACATCCCAGCAGATCCTTTCCCCACAGAGGTCTTGTCCCTACTCAAACCAAAACCACAGTCCTTGAAGTGGAGAATGGAGGTTGAGGAGGGAACTGATGAGTCACCCTATTTGGAAGGATTGTTTTCTACAATCATGCATCTTAAATAATAAGAAAAGTTGCATCAAAGACCAGAGGGAAAAATACTTTATTTATATACCCCTAGCTCCAATGAGGCACCCAGTTCTTTCATTTATATGTGGTAAGTGTAGCTATTTTCAAGTAGTTGAACACTGCCTCCACGGGCTACCTTTGCATATATAGCAGGAGTTATTTTCTAACGCTGAATCTGGAATATGTTAACTTCCACAGAGGTAAAAATAAATCTGATCAATTTGCCACTAAAGCACTTATTACATTAAAAAAATTAAGGGGAATGAAAGGAAGGTAGGGGAATGGGAATAGGAAAGATAGTACAATGAATCAGACATTACTATTCTAAATGTGTATATGATTATACAATCAGAAGAATGAGATGTTATACTCCATATAGGTATAATATGTGAAAATACATTCTACTATCATGTATAACTAGTGAGAAAAAATTGAAAAATAATTTTAACATGTTTAACTTGTGATGAACTCTATAGGGTCCCCGAGTTGGTCTTCATTATTATTTCTAGTTGCAGCTCCATTTGCACTAAATTTTTTGGTGACTTTGGGAAAGTTGTTTCACCTCTCTGAGTCTCAGTTTTCCACTTTTGAAGTGAGAGAATTGAACTTGATGATCTTCAATGTCTACCCCACCTATAAAATCTAGTGACTCTATAACCTGACCCCAATATATCCAACACAGAGATGGCTACAAGATGGAAGTCCTGCACAATTGGATCTTCAGGCAACCATGAATGAGCTATAGACATTCACATCATTCTCTGAATATTGGACAGTCCCCATGGTTTCCCTTCACCCACAGGGCCTTGTTCATACATACCACATTCTTTAGCATACACCTGGATGGAATATGGTTCTCCCACTCGGTCTTGGAACAGTGGATACACAGAGATGTTATAGAGGTGAAAAGGTTTTAATTTATCTATATCCAAAAAAAGGAAAGAAAGGGAAAAAAAACTAAGCTAATTGTAGAGTATGGCAGAGTAGAAGGGATGCTTAATGTCTAAGACCATAACTTAGAAGATATTTCAATGTTCCAACGGAAGATACTTCATTTCTCTACAATTTCCTTGATGATCTCTAATATCCATTTTTGTTCTAAGAATTTCTAATTAATTCTTAGAATTAAACGCTGTACCACTCTGATAAAATTACAAAACCATCCAAGTAAGATATACAGTCCCTTCTCCATTACTGATTTTATCATATGATTTGGTGCAGTGCAGAATAAAATTTAATCCTTTTGGCAATAGCACATCATCCTGGAGAACTGAGATACCATGAATTCTGGCTCCTCTGCCTGCCTGCATCCCTACATGAGTATAATTTTTTTTTTTTTGGTACTAGGGTTTGAACCCAGGGTCATTTAACCACTGAGTCACATCCCCAGTACCCCCTTTTAAATTTTTTCATCTTGAGACAGGGTCTTACTAAATTGCTTAAGGCCTCCCTAAGTTGCTGAGGCTGGCTTTGAACTTGTGATCCTCCTGTCCCAGCTTCCCAGGCTGCTAGGATTCAGGCATGCACCACCACACCTGATTAGTATAATTTTTAGTATAGGTGCCATTACTAATGAAGGCCACTAAGCATTCAGAAATGGCTAGAGTGATAAGCTAAAGCCTCACTTATACATCTTGCATAGGGCAGGGACTTTCTTGAAAATCAGCAATTCCCTATATCAGTCACCTGAGAAAGGGACCTTAACCAGGTCCTTAACCAGGCAGCCAAAACAGAAGGGAGTGTCCTAAGTAGGACAGATAGTATCCAAACTGTGGTGTTATCCCCAAGATGATCAAGATATCTGGGTGTTAGGATAGTGTTTTCATCTGTGCCTGGATACAGGGAAAGGCTCCATGTTCTGAGACCCACAGGTTTCTGTGCCAGCAATACTTGGGAAATGCCAAACAGTGTGACACTTCAGTAAGCTTGCACAAGCTTGTCAAATGCTACTAACTACATTTACAGTTTTGAAGCCAAAGTTAAAAATTTAAAAGCTGATTAAAATGAAACCAAATCCTGCACAGAGGGAACTTGAAGGTTTGGCACCAGCTACCTTGTGGAATTGTCCAGTTCCTGGCCTCAGACACAGATTCCCAGGAGATGTCAGAGGGCTCCGAGTCCAAATCTGGGAACCACTCAACCATCCATGTGTCCACCACTGGATCGGAGCTTTGCCATTCCACCACCAGCAGGTCCTGGGCAAAGTAGGTCTGCATGGCCTCAATGCACTGAAATGCTGAAAGACGACACAAAAACTGCTTCACCGCTGCTTGACCCAACGCCCCAACCACTTGGCATCCAATTATTGCCCAAATTGTGAAAGAAGGTCAAAGTTCAGGACTTCCACTACAGCCTCCCCAGATGGTGCTATTTCTGTATTCTTTTTCTTTATCCAATACCTTTGATGACTAAATACCTTCTGATCTGCTTTTATCCCCCCTAAATTGACCTGTTTCTCAAATAGATCTCAATAGAGAGTTATTATCTAAAGAGATCAACCTTCCATAGATGTTTCTGCAAGTTAAAAGAAAAGCAAACCTGAGACAAAGAATGGATCTCTTAGGTGGTGTGTATATTTTAGAGTCTTGTTCTTGTAAGCCACAGTTTATGGGTCCTTTTCCCAAACTGGACCTTTATGAGATATTCCAGCTGTTAGTCCTAAAAGTAAGGCCAGGTAATTTGTTTACCTGTAATGGTAGCTTTGAGAAAGGACAGCTAAGGTATAAAGAACATGTGAAACTGAAGTAGGGGCCATGGAACAGCAAGAAGCACAGAGCCTAGGTATCAAGTCACCAAGTTCCAGAGCTCCTGCTGTTTCCTCCCTGACTCCTCCTGCTCAGGGCTTGAAGCATTCTCAGCTACTCCAGGCTGAAGCTCATTGCTGAAGCATTGGAAATCTTATCTTTTAGACCCTCTCAGATTCATTCTTATTGTTTGTGTGTTTTGCTTGATTGGGATAATTCTGAAATATATACTCTAGAGTCACCCTGCAGGATTTGGAGGGACCATCTTCCTCAGGACTTTTATTTCAGATTGCACCCACCGATTATGGGTTGCATGTGTCCTTATAAGAAAAGAGGAATCTGGACCCAGAAAAAGAGACACAGGAGGCAGGATACAGGCAGAGATTGGAGTTACTGGAGTCAGTGGAAGCTGAGAAATACCTGGTGCTACTGGAAGCTGGAAGATGGGAGGAAGGATCCTCCCCTGAAAAGTTTGGAGGAAGCATGGCTCAGCTAACACCTTTAGACTTCTAGCCACCAGAACTATGAGACAATAAGTTTCTCTTGTTTTAAGGCTCATGGTTTGTGGTATCTTGTGACAGCAGTCACGGGACACTGAAAAGCACCCTTGGCCCAGTCTTCTCCCCTCCCTGGCCTGTTTCCCTTGTTTGCAATTCTGATCTTTCCAGAGACATTTTTCTTAATAAATGATTTGCCCACAGATCCTGACCTGAAAATGAGCGAGCACTGGTTGAAAAAACCACACTCCTTCTGCTCACCAACCCAAGAGTTATGAGAAATAGGAGGAGCCAGGTCTAAAGTGTCCAGTGTGCTAACAAGATTGAGGAGATCATGAGAGGCAGGGAAAGAGTTCCAAGAAGCCACGTGGCAATTATAAAAGAGGAAAGGCCTTGCCTTACTGGGGGATTTTCAAAAAGAATTTTCCAAATCATTCTACTGAATATAGACTAATTGCTGGTCCTTCCATCATTCAACAAGAACTTTTTGAGCAATTATTCTAAATCCAACACATTTTCCACAGTGGTAGGAAACACAGCTCCTCCCTAGGAAAGGGGGAAAGCGCTTGACTACAAACACCATTGATTTCTTAATGAAGACAAACACACTGGATCCAACACATTCTCAGTTACTGTTTCCCCTTTGCCAGCTCTCATGGCCCAACCTGATCTCTACTCCAGCATAGTTCCCTTCTCCTTCTCAGGTCCCTCACCACACAGTGGCTGTGCTTTTTCACACCCTGCCTCAGAACACTGTTCAACTGCCTGCTGGCTGAAGTCTCATAAAAACTCCCATGTTTAGGCAGAAGGAGCCTGAAGATTTATCTATTCCAATCTTATTCTAAAGATGAGAACATGGGTACCCACAGAGGTAAGCAACCAGCCCAGCATCACACAGCATCTGTGACCAGAATTAACACCACGTTCAAGACTCTAGATAAAGTATATTGTACCATTTTGGTTCATCTAGACTTGGGCTGGAATCTCATCTGAGAGTCCATGGACAAGTTACTAAACTTTCCTGGATATCTGCATCATCTTGAAAGTGGATCTAACAGCATCTATATCATGGGTCATTTCAAAGTTAAAATGAGGTAATAGAAGGGATCTCAGCATAATGCCTGACACATACAAGTGGACAATATGTAACAATTATACTTTAAAAAAATTATAACAATTCTCCAGTTATCTCTACTTTATTAAATAAAATTCTGAAGACCATTACTTTTTCTTTGTTCTTTCTTTCTTTCTTTCTTTCTTTCTTTTTTTTTTTTGGTACTAGGGATTGAATCTTCTTTCTTTAATTTTTAAAAGGAATACAAGCATTTTTAATTTTTATTCAAATAATAAATAATGCCTCCCCCTTATATTCTTTTTTTTATTTGTTCTTTTTAGATATATATGAAAGTAGAGTGTATTTTGATGTATTATAAATACATGACCAGCCCTTTTTATTTATTGCTTATTTTGACACAAGGTCTCACCAACTTGCTCAGGGCCTTGCCACAGTACTTTCTTATATGTCTAGTACAGGAGTCTGTAAGCTTCTTCTGTAAAGAACCAGAAAATAAATATTTTAAGCTTTGCAGGCTACATGGTCTCTATCACAACTACTTTGCCACTGTTGCACAAAAGAAGATATAAACAATATATAAACAAACAGGTGTGGTGGTGTTTCAATAAAACTTGACAAAAACAGGTGTCAGACCAGGTTTGGACACAAGTCGGCCAACACCTCTATTCGAGGACCATTATAATCGATGTTTCTAACATAAAGATAGAGAAAACCTACATGAATTTAGCATAATTTTAGCTAAAGTATATTTTATAGCATTTTTAAATTGATAATTCATGTCTAATAGAAATTCAATTAACCAGAATTTTTCATGACAATAATAATTAACACTAAGACAAAGATTTTCACATACAGAATCTCATTTAATCTTCACAACAGTTCTATTAAGTTTGTGTTATTATGTAATAGCTCCATTTTACAAGGAGCCTAGATCTAGAGAGATGGGGTAACTTGCCCAAGGTTCATGGTATCGTGTGCAAGTGCACAGATTTGAACTCAGAGCTTGTTGGGCTGTAGGGCCTTTGTCACTATTCCTCACTCTGGGGCCATACTAGGGAACTGAGATTACTATTTATCAAAATGCATACAAACAAAGCATGCATATTCCAAGGACAAAATGCATTTCTCAGAAACTTCATCATGAGAATACCAGACAGGTAGGAACTAGAAAGTCAGGAAGCAAGGACCACAGGGAATGCCTTTAAATACTAAAATAATATCAAGATTTTGCTCAAAACACAAAATACAAATTTCCAGGAGTTCTAAAATGATGGGGGAAATGGGTTAAGTTTAAGAAGAAAAGGCACAGGAGTCTAAAGCTGGTTAGATAAATGCCTGAGCCAGTCTGGGGCAAACAAACAGAGAGAGTGGCAAGTGGGAGAGAACATTCTCTAACAATGGTGCTGACAAATCCCCACTGAGAGCGTTCTCTATGCTAACTGCTTTGGGCTTCTATAGGAATTGAAATTAGATTTTTAAAAAGAAAAAGGAAAGAAGAAAAGGAAGAAAGGAAAAAGAAAGGGAAAACAGAAATTCTACCCATTGGACATGTATCTTATTGAAGGAGTAAATGAGAAAATATATGGAATGAAGGATAGTACTAGTTTAATAGAGAAAAATAAATCAGAGGAAAGGAAATCTATTGCTTGCAATTCTTCAATAAGAATCAAAAAGACATTTTAATCCAAAACAGGATGTAAAATATAAGTTTTCCTGGAAGCAGTAAGATCTTCAAAGCTTCTTAATCAAGTATAAGGTGCCACTGACTAGCAAGTATACACATTAGAATTTGTCCTAACTTGGGAGTCAAATGGAAGGGTAAAAAAGGAAGAAAACTAGAAAGTGAGCATTCAGACCCAACAGCTGGGGACTGGTCAAGCCCACCTGCAGGAGATCAAGGGAGGCTTTGATCACTGAGGATCGTGATCAAATATGACCATTGCAAGTGGCTCAACCCAGCTTTCATCTGCTTGGACCAGGACAAACATGAGCTGTATGGAGAGCACCTAAGCTTTATTGTCTTTGTCCAACATTTATGAAGTCTCTAATTTGTAACACAGACTTTGTTCCAAAGAAACCATATTTCAGGGGACTCATTACCTACCAGCAGATTTATTCTCCACCAAAACCTAAAAAGTCCCCACTCCCTTGTCATTTTGACTCAAGAGAAGCAACTACCCTTGAGAGGACAGGACTTGCTATGGGCAGTTGGATGGGACCAGGCACCCACAAAAGAAGTTCACACTCTACTTACGTGGCTCATTAACAGCTGGAATCCTCAGGGTGGCCGCTGGAGAATTCCCAAGAGAATTATAAGAAGTCACAGACACCCAGTAGGTCTCACCTCCCAGGTACAGCTCACACTGCTGGGTGGTGGTATTAATTATCTGTGTGAGGTTAGTGTTGTTTTCTGGAAAGTATGATAGGATGTAGCCAAATGTTTTCTCCAGGACTGGGGCTCCTCTTGCTTTCTAAAGCCAAAGGAAACACAACTTATTGCCAATACCAGAAAGAAAAAAGGCATTGAGACAGTGAGAAGTGGTGAATAGAGGTTGGGGGTAATGTTAGCTCTGAGATGCTGACCTACAATCAGGGAATTATCCTTCAGTGATGAATACATACCCTACTGCAGTGATATTAACCTTCAAGTACCAAAAGAAGGGATTTGCTAAAAGGCATCTTGGTACCTTTCAGCCTTTAGCATAAGCCCAATTTCATGAGACTAAATGAGGAGAATGCCCAAATCAGTGTAAGCAACACACCTCCAAGTCTTTCCCTCCATCCCACAAGGCAGTGGCCCTGAGCAATCTCAAGTCTGATCTGGCCCTGACTAACTTCTTCCTGGAATCCTGGAGGGCTAGAGAATACCTGTGCCTTTGTCTTTCATCTCCATACCTCCTACCCCTGAGGATACAGCAGGCATCCCTAGACCAGGCACCCTGGCCAAGCATCCAGCTGAGGACTAAGACATTCTGGTCTGCCCTACCAGTCCCAGACCCTTGGTCAAAAGCCAATATGAGAGGGTGGAGGGGCTCCAAGCCAAACTTCCAATTTTCAGCCTTGAATCTGGACCTACTAACCAGATGTTTTGCCTAGTAGTCATCATACTGAGTATTTCCCAGGATTTATAGGGATTCCCAGTGTTTTTGTTCTCTCTTGCTGATTACAAACACAGATGGAGAAGAATGACTGGGTGTATAGTCAGTCAGGGCTTTAGAAGTCACTTTGGCCCATTGCCTTCCTTATTCAGGAATTTCCTTTACACAGACCACAGCACAAAAGACCAGATAAAACACTATTAATGACTAATATGCTTTTCTCTCTCAAGAAAACCTGTTCTCTTTTTAAAACAACAGCTTTGAGATAAAAATCATATTCTATAAAATTCACTCTTCGAAAGTGTATCAGTCCATGGTTTTCAGGATATTCACAGACTCATGCAACCATTAGCACTATCTAATATTAGTACTTTTTTTTTTTTTAAACCAACTCAAATTCTTAGAAAAAGCTCTCCTGTCCAGGCAAAAGAAAAGCCAGTCCCCAGGCAAGGGGAAGTAGGAGGAGGGCATTGAAGCTGTCTTGCCTGCTTCACAGGCTGGCTTACTTGATCCTTTCCCACCCCTGCGTAGTTAAGACCATATGTGGGTGTGTGTCATTGTTTATCTCCCTAAAAATTAATTGTTGAGAGAGTCATCTGTTTCCACTCTTGATAAAAGAAATCCCGGCGTCTGGGATTGATTCTCAAAGATTTCCCAATCCTGTCTGCTGCCTCCACAACCTGAGGGTGTCCCCTAGGGTGTGAAAGGAGAGGGACAAAGGCAGGGGGTATTCCAACCCTGAATAATTGGAATTGAGATGTCACTTGGCTAATCAGAGTGATTTCTCCATTTTCAAAAGGATTTAAACTTGTCTGAACTTCAGCAAGTAGAGGATTATTTAATGAGCATTATCTTCAGAATTTTGGAGACATCTAAAGAGACATCTTCTTCTCCTATCTTTTCTCTCCTACTTCCCATGAAGTTTTTCCCTCTCTGTCCATTTTCTTTCCTACTTATTACCTCTCTCCCTCCTTTTCTGTCCTCTTCTACTTCCTTCTCTTATTTCCTCTTCCTTTCTCCTTGTTCCTCACTCCCAGGCCTCCATCCTATATAGGAACACATGGCCCCTCTTCTATCTTTGCACCCCCATATCCTGGTTCTTAAAGGGACACATGTGCCAGACATGTTGGCAATGACCTCAGGACACTGAGCTGACCCCTGTCAGTGTTCCTCTTGGGTGTGTAGGGAGAGTCTTCTTCACACTGTGTTCTAGTGCAGCCAGTTGGGATGGCTTCTGGCAAAAGGTCACAGTGCCTCCTGTATTGTACTTCATAATGGTCCTAAATGTTAATGTTTCAGACCAAAGAGGGACCCAGAGTCTATAATGTGCATCGGGACATCTACAAGATGACCTCTGGGGCTCTTCTGAGCTGGGCAAACATTGAGATTTGAAGCATCATAAAGCCCTCTAGGAAAGGAAATTCAGGACGTAAAATTTCAAGAATCATAGTGTTTACAGGGATAAAAGACCAAAGTTTTTTGTTGTTGTTGTTGTTGTTGTTATTTGTTTGTTTAAACAGGGAAAAAAACAAAGAAGAACTCAAAGGAAGGTCACCTTCCAGAGCAACTGCACTGGCCTCCTTCCATCCACCTCAGCTGGTCTCAGGACCCTCCACAGATCCAGGCCACCTGGAACTGAAAGGAAAAAGATAGGTGCTCAACTTAGAAGGGAACTGCAACAGGAGATGGGGAAAGTTTGCTGAGCTACTGGGTGAGAAAGGCAATGGAGAAGAATATGCTGGAGGGAGCCAGCTGAGGACGGCAGCATGAAGAGATGGTAGCCTTGCAATGACCAACAAGGTGGTCTTCATTTTGTGGTTGAAAAACTGGGAGGAACCAAACTTAAAAATAAAACTGCTCATCCTGGCATGCAGTGGTGCATGCCTGTAATCCCAGGAAGGCTGAAGCAGGAAGACTGAAAGTTCAAGGCCAGCCTGGGCAACTGAGACCTCAGCAATTCAGCAAGAACCTGTCTCAAAATAAATAATAAAAAGGACTTGGGATGTAGCTCAGTGGCAAAGTGCCCCGTGTTCAATCCCAGTACCAAAAAACAAAACAAAATCTGTTCATCCCCAGTGCCAAAGGAAGGAAGGAAGGAAGGAAGAAGTGCACTTGAGTCTGATAACTTAATGAAAGAGAAAAAGAAAAGTACAATACAACCCCATTGTAATATAATTGATCCCCCAAATCTGGATGGAAATATGTCTATAAAGCTGGGAGTGACACAGATAATTGATAAGAAATTATGTATATATAATTTATACCATGTGTATGTCCAAAAAGAATGAACTTGAGTACTTATAATGGTATAAGATGTAGGAAAAAAAAAAGGAAAGTAACAAGGAAATAATCTTCACTATTCCTCACTGTTCCTAAATTTTTATTTATTTATTTATTTATTTAGCTGTACTGGGAATTGAACCCAGGGTTTTACACATGCTGCATAAGCATTCTATCATTGAGTGACATCCTTTTTCTTTTAGTTTGAGACAGGGTCTTGCTAAGTTGCTCTGGTTGTCCTCAAACTTGCAATCCTCCTACCTCAGCCTCCACAGTCACTGGATTACAGATGTGTGTCACCACACTCAGATACTGAGCTCTAAATTTAATGCTGGTCTTCCCAGCAAGAAAAGTAAAAAAGAATAAATTCTCATAACCTGATAAAAAGAAAACACAGAAATTCATATGAAGAGATTATTGTTTTCTGCCTATGGACACTAAGTTCATAAATAGGACTTATCTCAAAAAGGACACAGGGTGACAAAAAGACCAAAAACTGCAATCCCAGGTGAGTAAAAGCATAGAAATACAATACAAACATGTTTCTCATGGTTGTCATCTATAAAACACAAGGGCATAAAATCTGAGTCAACTTCTTTCAGTAAAAACACAGTCTGAGAGTATAGGTTTCCGATGATCTAACTATACAGGGACAAAATGTACAAAAACAAGGAATTTACATTTCACTTTCTCTCTGGACTATTTCTCTCAAATGTTTCAAGCAAGTTCTGACAAGGGATGGATCACCAGCAATCTGTAGTTCAACGCTCCAACACGTACCTGCGATGTCAAAATGCTGACCTGCTGATTAAAGAATGACCCACACACATCAGCCAGGAGAGGCAAGCAGAAGGTACTAAAGAAATGTCCAGGAGACTAGTGGCCTACAATTTGGAGCAGAGAGGAAATGAACCTAATAAAGAGATGCAGCTCTCTGAATCCTTTCTTGAGGAAGTTGTGTGGCTGGGGATGCTATATTAGGTCCACAAAGAATGGAGCCTACCTCTAAGGCCAAAATCTGAACTATTTTAGTGCTGAAAGACTGTCTTCAGGGATCTTTTTAACTTTAAATGATTGGGATCTTATAGTGAAATGAGTATCTGCAACTAAAGACAACCTTATAATGTAGAAAAGTACACCAAAGGGCAATTAAGTCGATAACTTGTTTTGTCATCAAGGGAGAGCCACATTTCTACAACTACTCTTGCAGAAACAAAAGTATGAGTAACATAGGCTAGCTACTAGGGCTAGCATCTCCCAGTGAGATCTATTGTAATTTCATTTAAACTGTTTATAAGGTGATTGGAGCTGTTTAGACTTTACATGTGATTTCACCTGAATTCCACTGAGATGTTGCCTTAAAAGCTCTCCCAGGAGTTTTCTATTTCCCAACAGTCTTTGTTGAATGACAAGACGGAACAGCCAGTACTCAACTTTCCCAGGAAGAAACAGGCTGCTTTCAGCCTGTTTATAAGACAAGTGAGACATATGCGCAGGTAAAGCCTCTCTCAGAGACAGCCTTAGTATGGGCCCACAAAACCATCAGACCTTCAAAGGTAACCCACAGAATTGGAGAGACTCGTTCTCTTTAATTTGTAGAATTTCTCTGTTCCAGTCATGTGGAAAGTCAAATTCAGGGATAATAATATTGGAAGTAAGAAAGAAAATTCTAAACACAAAATGATCATTATAATCCAGTCCTAAGTAGTCATCTCAAGGATAAATACATAAATTGATTATTAAATAATCATCCCAGGCATTTTGACTTTTTTATTTTTGATTAGAAACCTTAGTGAAATTCTCCTTAGATTTATCTCATGGGCAGCCACTTAGTTTTAGTAGACAGCAATAATGAATGAGTTTAATTGAGCATTTTTTTCTTTCATTGAGGCCATTATTTCTTGCAGATATCCAAATAGACTTTCCATCAGATGCAGTTTTTAGTAAAAAAAAACTGCCTGACTAGCATGTAAATCTTCTACAATTATTACAGTGAACTTTTCATTGACCATGAGTTGATAATGAATTTATAGTCTAACCAAAGGGTAGTGGGAGTAGTAACTCTACATTTGTGGGGGAAAAAAATTGAATTTTTCCAAGTCCATCAAAATACCTATGTGTTCTAAGGCATCAATTACCTGGACTGATTTAGAAACAATTAGATGTTGTGCTGTGGGGATACAATATGGGTATCCCCTCAACCAATAGCAAGCAGACACATACTGATGCCCTTGCTAAAGACCAACAATAATAACAACTATCTTTTAGTAAGTATCGCTATATTAAGCATTTTACCTGAATTATTTAACCCCAAATCATATGTTTCATAATCCTCATTTCTGAAGCATAAATTATTGCCCAATATCACAAGCTTCTAAGTAATAAGGCTAAAAATTGAATCAAATTATACCAGTATCATTTAGGAAGTAGATATTTAATGACAAAATGTAGGTATACAGCCCTATTAATATGATGAAATCCAAGAGAAAATAGGTATTACCTCACATTTAACTTAGAATTTTTCAAATAATTAGATTTGAAATCATATGTACTAGACAACTAGCATTTCACTGTGAAGTAGGGAAACAAAGGGTTTATGAGTTGGAAAATCAGAAATTGGGATTTGCTAGGAGGTTGGATATGCATTTTCATCAATTTCCTCTGGGATCCTGAAAATGCTGGAGGATGGGGAGCCAATGTTCTTTATGGGTAACTTTGACAAATAAGCGTTGATTGATTTAATTAGCAAACGAGAACACCAGCATCAAGTGTTTCTGCAAATTACTCTTAACCAAGCTTGCCGAGCTAATAGATCACATGAAATTGTAAATCTTGTTTCTGACAGCAAAACAAGTTGAGGAAACTGACATTAGGGAGTGGCTGGACTGTGAAGAACTTACCAGACTTGAGACTCTGAGCCATAAAGGCACCAGACAAGAAGAGTGATAGGCACAGAGAAAAGTGCTAGCCAAGGGCTGGGGTTGTGGCTCAGTGGTAGAAAGCTCAACTAGTACATGTGAGGAACTGGGTTTGATCCTTAGCAACACATAAAAACAAATAACCAAAATAAAGATATTGTGTCCATCTATAACTAAAATATATATATATTTTTTAAAAGTGCTGGATAAAATACCATCCCATCCAAGGTAGTACTTAATCACCAAATTACCTACAGAAAGGTGTAGCAGAGAAAAGATCAATGATATCCCGGGCTTCATTTTAGTATTTTAAAGGGAGGATTTAATTAAAATATAGACAACATGAACTATTTCAACAATACCACTGGACCATTTTTTTATTGTGCAATTTATGTGCTGTTTGATATTTGTAAACTATTTTATTTATATTGATTAGACATTTAGAAATGACATTTAGAATGTCAATATGTGCCAAATGTATGTATTTTTTAGTTTACATTAGGTCCACACCTTGGTTTTTTGTTTGTTTTGTTTTGTTGGTACTGGGGATTGGGCCTAGGACACTCTTCCACTGAGCCACATCCCCATCCCTTTTTTTTTCTTTTTTTTTTAATATTTATTTTTTAGTTGTAGTTGGACATAATACCTTTACCTCACTTATTTATTTTTTTTAATGTGGTGCTGAGGATCGAACCCAAGGTCTCGCACATGCGAGGTGAGCGCTCTATCGCTGAGCCACAATCCCAACCCACCCATCCCTTTTTATATTTTATTTAGAGACAGGGTCTCACTGAGTTGCTTAGGACCTCACTAAGTTGCTGAGGCTGGCTTTGAATTCATGATCCTTCTGCCTCAGCCTCCTGAGCTGCTAGGACAACACATGGCCCATACCTTGTTTTAACATACATTTTTATTTCTTTAAAATAAATAAATAGGGCTGGGATTATGGCTCAGTGGTAGAGCACTCACTTAACTGTGCTGTGGGGATACAATATGGGTATTGATCTTTATCATCACATAAAAATAAATAAATAAAGTCATCGTGGCCACCTATAACTAAAAATTTTTTTTTAAATAAATAAATATTTTATACATATAAAAATATCATGTGTGAGGCACAGTTCTAAGCACTTAATGGTTTGGTATTTTCTGTGATTTTTTTCCTCCATATTACTAAAGCAATGCATATAAGAAAAGAAGCTCAGAGTGAGAAGAGCTTTTGGAGGATGTCTAACCCAATTCCCCATTTGCAGCATGAATCCCTGTTCTGAAACCATAGCCACTAAGGAGAAGTCCAGGCTAATCATGAACATCCATTGGGGAATGCAAGACTCACAAGGCAACAGACCATTTCCGGAATCCTATCACACGGGTAAATCTGCCAAACATCTGTTAATATCAACTTGGTGTCATGGGAAATTCACGCAGGAGCCAGAGGAATGAACTGTTGGACCCAAGTAGAAGCTGAATCCAGATGTTATCTGAGACCCCCATGGAACTTGACTATCTTGTCTTTTTCCTTCCCTTTCTGTCATTAAAGGTGATTTTTTCCCATTTCATTAGTTATACTTTATATTTTAGTAGTAGCTTTAGGATTTAAAAAAATATATCTTCAGTTTATAAAAGGATACCTTTAAATAATACCTCTTCAGGTAGAATGTAAGAACCTTATAAGAACATTAAAGAAGAGATCTTTTGCCTTTGGGATACAAAGATGCTAAGGTAACTAACATCCTCAGATGAGCATAGCTTGCTCCCAGGGGCTCAGTGGGGACTATAAGTGCCTGTGGAGAGGGAACATGAGGACTCTCCAGGTTTTGGGATCACAGGATTCCATGATTCTCAAGCCTGGCACTTGACAAAATCTACCAGGTCTAGACAGAGACAGCCTTACACCAGAGCACAGAGACAAGGAATTACAGAGAGCAGCTTGCCTTCTTCCTCGGTTAGTCCCCTTTTTTCTTGGCTCCAGTCACTCCAAAAGTATGATCCTTTGACCATACATCGCATGGCTATGATGTATTCTGTGAAAGCCTGCAGCCCCGTGAGGTTGTAGACCAGATCATCACTCTGGAAGTCAACTTCCACCTGCGAGACAGAAAAAGCTCCCAGCTGAAATGGGGGCAGCACATCTTCCCTTTCCACATTTCCTTCACTACTCAATGCTCTCTTACCTTTCAGAACTAGAAACAGTGTATCTCCGATTTTAAAAAACATCATTTTCATAAATAAACCTCCAGACCTGCCTGGGGACAACTTGTACCTAAATAGATGTAATCACCCCAAGAACCACCACCTCCATCCCCATTTCCTGTCTCTGAGCTTGGGAACAGAGATTTCCATCTCTGGGCCTGGTGAATGATGTTCTAGAAGATACAAGGCAAAACTCCATGACTCAGGGCAAACTGAGCCTCAGCTTAAACTCAGAGGTGATTTCAGTACCTAGAAATACAGTTTCACAGATCAAGGGGGTTAGAGACCTTGGCAGCATCGAGGTCAATCCTCTCAGGTCAGGGTTGAGACCCAGGAAAGTTAAGTGACCCCAAGACAACCTCAGCATTTGTGATCAGTGGAACTGGAACCAGAACACAAGTTTCTTCACTCCCCGTTTCTTTCTTTTACCCCAATATTCCATTATAAATGATTGGTCTTGGGGTAACCAATCAAGCTGCTTAAAGTCTCAACAGCCTGGATATATAAATTCATTTTGACATTCTCTTGGGAAGAATAATGGCCAATTAAATCAGTTCCCTTCTCTCAATCAGTGTCACTTTATCATTAGCAAAATAAAGGTGGAGTTTTATAAAATTTCTAAAAGTCCCTTCTGGAGCCAACCCTCCTTGAAAAACTAAAAATATATATATATTTTATTTCTGAGCACAGACATTATTGGAACAATGAAAATGGTTAGCTGTTAGTTTATTAAACTTATATTGAGTTGATTAATAAAAACAAATTTCACTAACAGGATGTCCATTTTATTAGTATACAACCAGCGAGAGAAGGAAGTTCTGATATTTCTTACATGTATGTAAGAGCTGTGAAGGGAAGTACTTAATTATAGTCCCTATGGGGCTGGGGATGTGGCTCAAGCGGTAGCGCGCTCGCCTGGCATGCGTGCGGCCCGGGTTCGATCCTCAGCACCACATACCAACAAACATGTTGTGTCCGCCAAGAACTAAAAAAAAATAAATAAATATTAGAAATTCTCAAAAAAAAAAAAAAAAAAAAAAAAAATTATAGTCCCTGGGTCTAACTGTAATTGGGCAAAGAAGAAAGTGTGTGACAGAGAGCTGAGCACCCCAGCTACAGAGGGACTTCTGAAAGCCCAATCAAGTTGGGGGCAGAGGAAGGAGGTAGGACCCAGAGGCAATAATAGCATTTTCACTGTTAAAGCCTGGGCTCCTGGAGCATCCTCTTCCAAACAACCCCAGGAGATACTATGGCACCACACTAAGGTTATTGGGAACAAAACTTGAGACAATCTGTCATTCATCATGGGGTTATAAAAATAATTCTAATCCATATGCCAACTGTAAGGAGGTCTAATAATGCTCTATTTTACTTTTTATGCCTTTTAAAATGCAAAATATTTGCTGGACACAGTGCCTATAATCCCAAGGGCTCAGGAGGCTGAGGTAGGAGGATTGCAAGTTCAAGGCCAGCCTCAGCAACTTAGTGAGGTCCTCAGCAATTTAGCAAGACCCTGTCTATAAATTTAAGAAAAAAAGTTTTAAAGTGATGGTTGTGTGTCTCAGTGGTTAAGTGCCCCTAGGCTCAATCCCAGTACCCAAAAATAAAAATTTTAAAAAAATATTCTTTTTAAATCTTTCTTAAAATAATCTTCCTAATTTTTCCTTCAGCACACACTTGGCCTACTTGGTACTTCTCATCATGCTCAGGCTGAGAAAGCTTTGCCTCGTCTAACCACTTAAACCTGCTGTTCCCAGCCCCGGCTACAGAAAAACCAAAACAGGCTGTTCAGTCTTTTCAACACTTTGCCTTTAAGGTAAATTGCCTTGGATTTATACCTTAGCTTTTGTCTAGTCGAGGAGCTATTGGCTCTCTCAGACTCCAGGCCTTCATACACAGGCTTAGATCTAAAGCCTCCCCATGTCCACCCAGGCCTTGGAATCCTACCAATACACTAATTAACTCCATCAGATTTGTTTCTAAGTCTATGCTCCGTGCCAAATCCTAGCTCACCCAAAGTGTTTGTCATAGGGATGAGTCAGAAGTTTTGGTGCAAAGCCTAAATCAAACTCTTTAAACAATCTTGAGATTCATTTCTAGGATATCCACATGGCTTCTAGGATGTCCACATGGCTTCATCATAAAAAGGGGCAAACCCTGCGACAAGAACCGCAGGAAGGTTTGAAGGTTGCTGAAGTGTGGTCACATGAATGACAAACCTGGAGTCAGAAAACCTGGGCTTAGGTTTGCAACTTGCAGACCTTGTGATTTTGGTTTATTAATCTCTCTACATCTCAATTTCCTAATCTATAAGTGAGGATAGCAATGCCTCATATATAGGATATTTGCAAGAATTAAATAGGTGACACATAAGAAAGCATTTTGTTACCCATATAACATCATACAAACATGGGTCTTCTTATATGGCCACAATGGGATTTTAGAATTAGTTTTACATGGTTTTGTTTGGTTAAACTGATGTTTGTTGAACACAGCCATGTGACAAGCAAAGGAAAAATAAAAATGACAATCAAGGTACCTGCATTTGAGTTTACAGTCTACTGAGGGGCGAATCTAATGAGTTTAAATGTGTTGATTGTTAAGTGCCATGACAGAGACTTACAGAGGAGGGGAACCTCACTCAGACCCTAAGAAAGAAATATATCTCATCTAAGTTCTGAAAGATGAATAGAGGGGCAGTAGCACAGGTACAAAAGCAGAGGGTGTTCTAGGCAGAGACACAGAATAGGGAGACAGTGTGCTGCAAGGAAAACAAGCAATCCAGAATTACTACTGAAGTAAGCTCAAGGTGAAAGACAAGGTTGGAGGGTTGGTGCGGCCTGGTCTCAGAAGGTTAAGGATTTGTACCTCTTTCCATGAGTGGGGACCATTAATATGAGGCTGGAGTGGGTTGGGTTGATCTTAGCTGGTTCTAGAACTGAGGAGACCTGCTTGTGTTTGATATCTGAAAGGAGAGAGTGAGTCCTGGATGCTCTCTCTCCAGGAGAGCAGAAGGAAGGACATCTCACCTCATGGACAGAAAGAGAGAAGGCAAAGATGGATGCAGATGTGGGTGACTTTGTTAAAAGGTGGAGTATAGAATGCCAAGAGTTGGAGCAACTTCTATTTGTTGGCCTCACTTAGTGTTACACATAGTTGAGTAATTTGTCAGAGTGACGTAGGCTCTGGTTTGTTTCTTGTTGAATCCTGTCTTGGAACATTTTGTGACTCTGGGACCCTACCAATAGAAAGAACTGGGGTGGCTAGTCAGTGCTGGTTGTGTGGCTGAACCACCCCACAGTTCCTCAGGTTTGCTGAATCTATGGCACAGGGCTTGAAGGAAGATGAGTTTGTGCAGTGCTGAGGCCTGCTCTGCTTAGGGGCTCCTCAAACTATAAATTGGTGAGTCCAGTGTCATATAGTCAGGTTCAGGGAAGAAGGTTCCAGAGTTGGCTCAGAAAGGAAGCAGGAAGGAGAAGTGGCCAACATCATTCTCTCTGAATACAGGAAAATGAAACCTGACAAATTTTCTTTTCTTAAAGCATTCTAGAACAGGATAGAACACAACAGACATCGTGTTTGAGGGTTTCTACTAGGAAAGGGTCTCATGATAGCCTCCTGGACACGATGAAAAATGACTGTCATGGTAATCAGGTGTATTCGTAGAAACCTGAGTAATGATTACACTCAAAGAAGGCAGCATTGGGGCTGGGATTGTGGCTCAGTGGTAGAGCGCTTGCTTAGTATGGGCGGGACCCAGGTTTGATCCTCAGCACCACATAAAAATAAAGGCATTGTGTTGTGTCCATCTACACCTAAAAAAATAAATTAAAAAAAAAAGAAGGCAGCATTGATGCCCCTGGAGAGTCTACTGGCTTTCCACAGGGCTCTGATGCAGTTACTGCTTTTTTTAATGATTAGATAAAGTCATAGAATTAAGTTATTAAATCTGAAGTAAGTTTATCATGTATTAAAAAGGAAGTAAAATGTTGAAAGTAGGTTTGGGGTAGCAGAATAAAGGTTCCAAGTGGAGTGAAATGATGAATAAGGCCAAAATGAAGAAATTCAATAGGAACAAATAGAGCATTTGAATTCAGGTTAAAACCTAACAAATTACTGGGTATGGGTGGTGTCCTCCTTTAATTGCAGAGACTTAGGAGGCTGAGGCAGGAAGATTGCAAGCTTGAGGTCAGCCTCAGTAACTTAGAAAGGCTCTAAACAACTGAGTGTCTCAAAATAAAAAATAAAAAGGGCTGGGGATCTGGTTCAGTGGAAAAGCATGCCTAGGTTCAATTATCAGTACAAAAACAATTGTACAATAGTGAATATGTATTTTTCTAGCAAGTTTTGTGAGAGGGGAAAAGTCTTAAAGACATCTCCATAATGTGAGGTGGTCACCAAAAAATGAAGGATGATATAATTTCAGGCTGGGATGAAGGAAACAGGAGAATTATCTTCTGAACCCCAAGGTAAGAAAAGGTTTCTTAAAACATAAAGAGCATTAAGCATAAAGGAAAAGTTTGATAAAAGTTAACATGATCAAAATTAAGAAGTTCTGTTCATCAAAATTCATCATTAATAAGAGAGCAAAAAGGCAAGCTGAGGTGAGACAGAACATCAAGGCAAAAGGGTATGGCATAGGAAAGCTGCTCAGATCATGGCAATCAGAGAGAGAGAGAGAGGTCCACTCATCAGAGACAAAATATATACCCCAAAGACACATCCCCAGTGACCTACCCCTCTAGTCACATCCTATCTGCCTACAGTTACCACCCAGTTAATCCATTCAAGTGGATTGATAAATTAAGGCTCTCGTAACCCAATCATTTCACCTCTAATCTTTCTTATTTGTCTCACACATGAGCTTTTAGGAGATTTCTCATATCTAAACCATAATACTTGAAACGGTCAATAAAAAATTATTTAAATGAGTGAAGTCATTTTAGAATTATATAAATGAATCTTAAAAGCACAATATCAAGAGAATAAAGTCAAACATAAAAAATACAAATTGCATAGGTTGAATTTGTATGTTCCTCATATATTTCTGCTGGGCACTTATACAATAGTGGGCACTCCTTAAATTATATTTTTCCAGAAAGCTGGCATAATGGTGAAATATTAAAAGCAAAGAAATGATTACTGTGAAAACAGGATAGCAGTTAACTGTAAGGGGAGAAAGTGTAATCAAAGGGTTCTGGAATGCTGAAAATGTTCTATTCTTGACTTCGGTAGCTTTTACATGAGTGCCGACTTAATAGTAATTTGACAAATGCAATATATGTTTTGTTTACTTCCCAAGATGTGTTATGCTTAAAATTTTTACTAAAGGTTGGAAAAAAAAAGAAATGGTCAAACCACAGCGTATCTGATAACCAACAGACCTAGAAACAAACCAAGGTATAATGCAAAAGTAAAATTTTCATTCTTTAATGTGTCACTGTGCTCAGACTATAATACACCTGTGGTGAAACATCTACCCAATCTAAAAGATGTGAATAAACAACTGAAAAGTATAGTACTTAGTATGTTACTTTTCTATTTGCAATGTAGAAAGTTAAAAAGATTCTAGATCAACAAAGTTGTCAATGAATCTCTTTCTCAGGCCCTCTAATAGAAATATTATAAAAGTATGACTTACCCAATGGGTACTATTGATTGTCCTGTATCGAAGCATGTATTTGAAATCAGATGAAGAAAATAACGAATCATGCCATTCCCATTTTATTTGCATCATTTTTTTGATGCCCAAAATTGGTTTCACAGAAAGAATCTTAGGTGGTTCCATTTTCACTGAAAATAAAAATCATACAATTCTCATATTTGCAAGAAAATGAGATGCTAATAACATTGAGCCCAAACTGAAAGCACAATAAGCCTAGAAAATAAATAGTAGTACACGTTTTGCTGTTTGCTTTATGCAGATGGCATAGCAGGGAAGTGCAAAAGGAATGTCTCAACCGAAATTAACTCCAAAAAAGGACTACCTAATGAAAAGAGGATTATTCCTGAGATTTTTCTGCAAATCAGTCTTTTACTGATTGGGTCATATCTTATACCAGAAAGGAGATAAATAAATAAAAATAATAATCCAGACAAACTATAGTTACACAATAAACTACAACAGAAATTTAAAGAGAGACTACATACAAGAAAATAAGCTATTCCCTGTATCTACCCTCCCCTTGGCCTCCCTCTCCTTGATCCCCATGATTAAGGAAACCCCATTAGAAAGAACTTCTCATTTTCTTTTCACACTACAAATCTTCTAGCCCCAATTTTCTCTCTATGGAAATGTGTGTTTTTCTGGTTATAGAAGTAGCATATGCTCAAATTTTTTTAATACACAAAATCAGGAAATTCTTCAAAACATGGGGTTTTTTTTAAAGTTTCATAATATCTACCTTATGGATAAATGAAACTTATTTGACCACTTTTCTACAATTGTGCATTCATAGTGTTTCCAGTATTTTGTTTAAAGTTCCTTAATGACAGAGGCTAGTCTTGATCACAAAGTCCAGAATTAAAACCTGGCACATAGCCAGTATCAAATATTTGATAAGTGAATGAATACATGGGTAAGAGATGAATCTTCCTCTAACATCTCTAATTATTTCCTTAATTCCCTTAGAATTGATTGGTTGGTTTTTCAAAAGGAAATACAGATATTTAGTTTAACAGCCACACAGTGCAATTTTGTTCCTAGAAAAGGCTACATCAATATCAGTTTCCATCAACAATGTATGAATACCTATCTCATCACACCCTCACTAGCTAGAATTTAATAGTAGCATTGTGGATTTGGAAAAGCAAAATCCCTAGTTAGGGCCATATCATTAAAACACTGACTGCATTAAAATATTCAGAAATCTTTTAGTGACTACTCAAAAAATAATGTGTATTTTTTATGCCTGAACTAAAGGGTGACCAAACTATATGACCACTCTATAAGTGGAGCTATAAGCAATAGACATATTAAGTATTTCCATAAGATTACTGGTATTTATGGAACACTTCATAAGTATTCTTGCAGGTGAATAATTTTGTCAATTCCTCTCAACCACATAACAAAAATGGCCATTTTACAGAGGAGATTTAGAAAAGGTAAATAAATTTCTAGTAACAACTAAGATAACACTCATTTATATCTATGCCAAAGTTCCTGCCTATATTCATTGAATTAAACTGTTTTTAGTCAGAGTAAACACAAATTCCTGTTATATAACCATTCAACTAATCAACTCTATCACCAAGGATATGTTATTAATTTTTTCCTGTGATTAAAATGGCTCTCAAAATAGTTCATTAGGAACTGGTGTGTATTGAGTCACATAAGCAAAATGGTAGACTAGGAAACTCCAAGTTTTTGTTCCTTCATGGAAACATTGAAAAAAAGAAAAACAAAAATGGACAGAAACTGAGTAGACTAAGCTTGCAGGAACTCTAGAAATCTATCTGAGGTTTATACTAACCAATCTAGAATATCCAATTAAGAAAATGTCACCTTCAGAAAGGTAGGAAAAAAGTTTTATGGCAGTCTTATTTGCCTTGCTCCACACTGTTTGTGTTGTGTCAGTGGTCTTGATAGAAAGGAGACAGCAACCCAGTTCCTAATTCCCTTCCTTCAACTGGAGGGAACAGAGTAGACCTTATTTACAACATTCTAACCTGTCTGAAGAAGAAAGGGCTGGCCTCTTGTTTTGCCTAATTTGAATCTCAGGTTGGAAAAGTGTCAGGAACAACTCATGAAAGCTATAGAAAGACTTCACACCTGTAGAAGCCTGGGGCAAGAAATTATGTAGGGAAACATGAAAATAGATGACATAAGGTCTTAAAGAGAAGCTGAGTAAGATTCTGATATTTGAAACAATAGCCACCTCTCCTAGTGTTTGTATACTGACTCTACTGGGACAGTCTTTCACAGATTAGCTAGGCTTGCTCTGAGTTTTGGGATCCATCCAAGATGAAAGTTTAGAGTCTGCTTGGGTCTTTTCTTACCATGATCAAGCAGGCCAATTATACAATTGAGAGTCTCTGAAGGAGAAGAGAGAAAAAAAATGTCAGAAAGATTATTCAAAGAAATAATGGGCAAACTTCCCATTTGATGAAATACATGAATCTACAAGTCCAAGAATCCCCAAAAATCCCAAGTAAGATAAACCTAACTAAAAACTTCAATAACTGAAAATTTTAAAATTTGGTAGAGTGATGCAAGAGTAAATTTGAGCAGGCACAAGAAGAAATCAGCAAACTTGGAAATAAGACAATTGAAATAAGTAAATCTGAATAGCAAAAAGAAAAAAAGAACGAGGAAAAGTTAACAGAACCTGAGAGACTTGTGAGACATGATCAAGCAGGCCAATTATACAATTGAGAGTCTCTGAAGGAGAAGAGAGAAAGGAAATGTCAGAAAGATTATTCAAAGAAATAATGGGCAAACTTCCCATTTGATGAAATACATGAATCTACAAGTCCAAGAATCCCAAAAAATCCCAAGTACGATAAACCTAACTAAAAAGACCCACAACTAGACAGTAGAAAGATAAAACAATATTTCAAAAGCAGCAAGAGAGAAGCAACTCATAAACAAGGGATATGTCATGATATTATAAACTGATTTCTCAACAAAATCTTAGAGGTCAGAAGGCAGTGGCATGGTATATTTAAAGTGCTGAATTTTTTTTTTAAGTTGTGTGTGGTACTGAGGATTGAGTTCAGTGATTCCATGTGTTCGTGATTCCAGAGCTATAGCTACCTCTGAGCTACACCATCAACCCTTTTTAAAAATTATATTTTGAGAAAGGGTCTTGCTAAGTTGCCCAGGCTGGCCTCAAACTTACAATCCTCCTGCTACACTCTGAGTAGCTGAAATTATAGATATATGCTGTTGCACCCTGAGTAATTGAAATTATAGGTATGAGCCTTTGCACCCAACTTTAAAAACAAAAAGAAAATTTTAAACTGGGACTTCTGTATCTAGTAAAACTGTTCTTCAAAACTAAAAGAGAAATTAAGACATTGCTAGATAAACAAAAGCTAAAGGAGCTTATTACCAGTAGACATGTTCTAAAAGAAATACTAAAGGGAGTCCTTCATGTTGAAATAAAGGGATGTTAGACAGTAACTTGAAGCCAGTTGAAGATGGAAAGACCTCTGGTACAAATGAATACATGAGGAATCAAAAACAATTATTATTATGATTCTGGCTCATAAGTCCTTTTGTTTTACATGGGTCTTAAAAGACTAAAGCATTAAATTAATTATAAATCTCTATTAGTGAGTATCTATGATATCCGTGGCATCAAATGGGGAAGAATTGGGAAGGCATAAGTTCTGTATGCAATTCAAGGTAACATGGTATCAATTCAAATTAGATGATTATAAGTGTAGGTGATATATGTAATCCTCATGGTAACCACAAAGAATATACACAAGAGGAAATGAGAAGGAAACAAAAACATATAACTACAACAAATCAACTAAATGCAAAGAAGGCAGTGATAAAGGAAATAAGAGGCCAAAAGCTACAAATCATACAGGGAAAAGAACAAAATAGTGAAAATAATTCTCCTTTTTCAATTACTCTAAATGTAAAGGAACTAAACTCTCCTAACAAAAGGCATAGACTGGCAGACAGATTCTTTTAAATGATTCAATTGAATTCTATCTACAAGAGACTCACTTTTTTTTTTTTAATATAACTTTTTTTTTTAAAGAGAGAGTGAGAGAGGAGAGAGAGAGAGAGAGAGAGAATTTTTAATATTTATTTTTTAGTTCTCGGCGGACACAACATCTTTGTTGGTATGTGGTGCTGAGGATCGAACCCAGGCCGCACGCATGCCAGGTGAGCGCGCTACCACTTGAGCCACATCCCCAGCCCCAAGAGACTCACTTTTAATCTACAGTCAAAAGTAAGTTGAAAGTAAAAAGATCAAAACGGCAGGAGGGGTTTCATGAAAATAGCAGGGAGGCCAGTAGAGTAGAGGAAGGGGATCCAGAGGTGGGAGGGAAAGAAGAGGTACTCAGGAATGTAATTGACCAAATTATGCTATGTGCATGTACGTAAATGTGAAGACAAAGCCCATTATTACATTCAATTATAATTCACCAATAAAAAATACTACTAAGAAAAAGACATTCAATACACATAGTAACCCAAAGAACAGAGGTAGGTATATTTATATCAGACAAAATAGACTTTAAGTTTTAAAAAGGACACATATCAAACATAGCAAAAGTTTGATTAGTAAGATAACTTATGACAGAAGTTAGACTAAAAGTATACCCAAGCATTATCTATGGGGGGGGAAAAAAGGCTTAAACAAAACTATCAGTGTAAACCTAAGTTGCCGCAGTCTGGCTGGGCACAAAATCATGAGCCACCACACACCTTGTAGATTCAAACAGCAACTCTTTATTCCCGAACTCACACCGGTACTCTACACACGTTCTGGGGAAATTCACACCTCCACTCGGCTCTGTATCCCAAAAAATACTCTCTGAATCCCACAAGAACTCAACAGGAACTCAAGGAGTGGGCATGCCTGAGGCAGCAGGATACACCCTATTCCCAGCAGGGTACACTTTAAACCTGGAATCGCCCTAAACCAGTAGGATCATCCCTAAACCCGGATCCACCCTGGTCCTTGAGCAGGGTGACCTTTCTTAAACATACATGCAATGTCTCTGCAAATGTCCAAGGCAAGTCCATTTCCACGAGTCCTTCCTCTAAGCAACATGGGGTACTCTGGCAAGGAAATTGTCATACCTACTTGGCTAATGGCTCTCAGCACTAAGTGGTGGGAGACATGTTTCAGTTAGAAATCAAACTATTTTCAATTGTTCTTAAAGCACTGTCATAATCCCATCCAGTTGAATTTAAATACAATTCTAATTACAAATATATTATTGTTATTTATTATATGCTTTTCTCTCATAAAAGGAATCCAAAAATATTTTACTACTTAGCAACACTTTATCAGGACCTAGAAATAGATAATAAAAAGCAGTTTCTTCAGAGATCAATTTTATAATTCTAGAGTTTTACTATTTTAGATTAAAATTCCTCCCTACTCCAAATTTAAAGCAGTGAAAAGTTACACAATATTTAAATAGATACTAAATATAGTCAAAAGAGATTAGAAAATTTCATTTAGTTTTCTTTGTAAACCAGGAATATATATAAAGAACTCTTAAATTTCAATAAAGAGGCAACTCAATTAAAAATGGGAAAAGAATATGAAGTAAAATTTCTCCCAAAACCATATATGAATGGCCACAAAATATATGAAAGATGCTCTACATCCTTAGTTTTTGGGTAAATGCAAATCAGAACCATAATAAGATTCCATTTCACACCCACTAAGATGACTATAATAAAAATGAGGGACAACAGTTATTGTTAGTGTGTCTGTAAGGATATTGAGAAACCATAGCCTTTATAAATGGATGAGGAGAATGTTAAATGATACAACCACTTTAATAACATTTGGTGGTTCTTCAAAAAGTTCTCTATCATATGACTCAGCAATTTTACTAGATATATATCTAAGAGAATTGAAACACATGCTCACATAAGAATTTTTACAGAAATATTCATAGTATTTGTTAGAGTCTGTAAACAAGTCAGGATGGCATCTGGGATTTTGCCAGAGAAATGTTAGAGTCTGTAAACAAGTCAGGATGGCGCCTGGCAAATGTTAGGGTCTGTAAACAAGTCTGGATGGCGCCTGGCATTTTGCCAGAGGGAGTGGTTAATGTTAAGGTCTGTAAACAAGTCAGGATGGNGGCAAATGTTAGGGTCTGTAAACAAGTCTGGATGGCGCCTGGCATTTTGCCAGAGGGAGTGGTTAATGTTAAGGTCTGTAAACAAGTCAGGATGGTGCCTGGTATTTTGCCAGGGGGAGTGGTTTGTGAAGTAATGCCAGTGAGCCATTAAGTGTGGAGATTCCTGATTGGTTGACTGCTGTATCTAGTTTATGTTAATTAGATAAGCTGTATGGAATGTATAAATACCTCTGTTGTCCTATAATAAACAGCTTCCACTCCTGCTGTATCAACATACACAAGTTGTTCGTCACCCCCCCCCCGTTATTTTGCCCAGCCAGCCGGGCTGCGGCAAGCATTATTATTCATAATAATGAAAAAGTATTAAGAACCAAAATGTATATTAATTGATATATGGATAAACAACATGTGATTTATCCATCCAGTGGAATATCAATCAGCTATAAAAAAGAAATGACGAACTAATACATGCTACGGGGTGACAAACCTTGAAAACATTATTTGAATGAAAGAAGGCAGACACAAAAGGCCACAGAATATATGATTCTATTTATATGAAATGTTCATAATAGGCAAATCCATAGAGACAAAAGTTAGACCCATACTTTCCTGAGTATGGGGAAAAGGTAAGTAAAGGATTGGGCACTTGCAACCCAAAGAGTCTGAAATTTCTGTGTGGTATAATGAAAATGTTATGAATTAAACAGTGGAAGTGTTTGTACAACTTTGTAAATATGATAAAGACTACTGAACACTTTAAAAGGTGAACCTTATGTTATGTGAAGTATATGTCAATAAAGTAGTTATTTAAAAATTACAGGAGTCAGTAGCAGTGGCACAAGCCTATAATCCCAGCAACTCGAGAGGCTGAAGCTGCAAGTTCAAGGCCAACTTCAGCAACTTAGCAAGACCCGTTGGGAAATTGCATGGAAATGGAAGGTGACCCTCATTGTTATACAAAATTACATATAAGAGGATGTGAGGGGAAAGGGAAAAAAATCAAGGGAGAGAAATGAATTACAGTAGATGGGGTAGAGATGGAAGATGGGAGGGGAGGGGAGGGGAGGGTGGATAGTAGAGGATAGGAAAGGCAGCAGAATACAACAGTCACTAGTATGGCAATATGTAAAAACGTGGATGTGTAACCTATGTGATTCTGCAATCTGTATACGGGGTAAAAATGGGAGTTCATAACCCACTTGAATCAAATGTATGAAATATGATATGTCAAGAGCTTTGTAATTTTTTGAACAACCAATAAAAAAAATTTAAAAGGACTGAGGATGTACTTCAGTGGTTAATCACCTGAGGTAAAATCCTCAGTACCAAAAAAGTAAATAAATAAAACACAGGAAAAAAGAGTCTTTAAAAAATAATTGTAAAAGGTCAGAATTAGTGAGACATTTTTTAAAATAAGTGTTTTACTCTTCTTTCATGAGCAACAATAATTTGTAATGTGTTTAGGGGAGGGGTCTTTGTTTATCTGAATTCAATTTATGTAACAAACTGTAAGAAGAAATCAGTGACCAGATATTTCTTCTCATTCCTTTTTTTCTTATTTGGCCAATTAATTCCTTCTTTGCTTGCTTTCTTCTCACTTTCTCCCTCACTCACTCCCTTCTTCCTTCCCCTCCTCTTTCCCTTGCCTTTTTTCTTCCTTCTTTGATAAGAAAATGAGTTTTCTGAATATCCATAACACATATCTACTATTCCCTTGAACTTTGCGTCTACAAATATATCTTTAAAGAAAAAAGAAAGAGAAGAGTAATTACTCAATAAAGACTATCTAAGAACATCAAAGAACACTTACCTATGTCATTTAAGGTCCAACGTGTAATATCAGATGTAGCTACAGCATCTTTATTTTCAGCTTCCACTTTAATGGTGAAGTAATCTGGGGGTGTTATAGTTGGACGGAAAAAAGAACACGAAGCACCTGTCGAACTATTGGCTTTACAAATGTCACGTTTTTTTCCAAAAGAGCTTTGAAGGAAAAAAATTATTCAATATGAGGTTAGTATAGTATTTTGGAAATGTAGTCATACTTAATATATTAAGCTGTATTTTTTAGTTTTACTCTGGGTTTCTCTTGAGGTCCAGGATATTCTTTTCTTGGCTCAGGATTTGGTTTCCTTCTGCTTCAAAGAGAGGTCAAAGTTACCTGCTTATTTTCTCCTGAGATACTATGAGCCTTCGAGACCTCCTTGGAAACCCTGTGAGCCCACTTAAAAGCCAATCATAATGCTTTTCCTATTGACAAGAAATAATGTATTGGCCTCTGAAATTCCAGATTATAGTTTTGAGGCTTTATTATTTTTTAAAAGTCAAAGAGAATTTGTTAAATAAATTCTGGTGGACATATAAGTAGGATTTTAACCAATGCTTTTTAATATATCTATATTTACTCATATGTAAAGATGGCTATATTCTGTTTTTGGTGAAAAAAAACAGATGCATATCAAATTTGTAATGACCACAGTTGTATCAACATACATATTTATGTAACTATTCTAAAGATAGCTGGAAAGGCCCTAGTAAAAATGTTAAAGTTGTCACCTTTGAGTCTGTGATTTTTTTTTAACATTCTTTATGTTTCAGATTGGACTTTTATCACTAGCATATATTGTTTTCAGAAAACTCATTAAAACACATAGATGGCCAGGTTTAGCAGCACACACTTGTAATCCTGGCCACTGGGGAGGTTGATATAGGAGGATCACAAGTTCAAAGCCAGCCTCAACAACTTATCAAGGCCCTAAGCAACTTAGCAAGACCCTATCTCAAAATAAAAAATAATGAGGGCTGGGGATGTGACTCAGTGGCTGAGTGCCCCTGGGTTTAACATAGATGACGATGATGGATAGATCCTATTAAGCTGTAATTTTTACCTATATTAGCAGGAATCAGATGGGTGGGTAGAACCATAGCAAACATGATTCTGGGAATTGCAAAGGAGACAGAGACGAACATAAAAGGAAGTTCAACATGTAATGTGCCAGTGTCTGTTGGGGTGGGAGAAAGGAAAAGAGCTTAGACACATAGATTATTATTATTTTGTGTGTGTGTGTGTGGTGCTGGGGATTGAACCCAAGGCCTTTTGTGATTGTGAGGCAAGCACTCTATCAACTGAGCTATATATATATCCCTAGCCCAAATCATAGAATCTTGAAACCAGAAAGGATCTCAAGGATTTATGATAGTTATTACACCAAGAAAAATGTACCCTCAAGGTAGCATTGTAGATGCAGCCTCTGGAAGGAGATTGATCTCTGTCAAAACTACTAAACACTACTGCAGTAGCCCCCAAACTGCTGTAGACAATTTGTGATGAATAGGCAAGACTGGTTTCCAGTAAAACCTTACTTGTGGACACTGAAATTTGAATTTCATTATAATTTTCATATGACACCAAGTTTTCTTCTTATGATTTATGCTTTTGACCATTTTGATAACATAAAACAATTGTTAGTCTATGGGCCATATAAATTCAGGAGATGGGTTGTGTCTGACCTGCAGACTAATTTCCCCACCTCTGCTGTACTGTCTGATCCTTTATAGAAAGTTTACTGAGTCCTGTCTGAAAGCATTGATCTGACATAGATGCTCATTGATACTGCAAAAAATAGTGTTTGCCTTTTCCCTTTCTTTGTAAAACAACAAAAAAAAGAATTTCCCTTTCAGGACAAGATCTTCTTCTTAAAAAAAAAAAAGTTTGGAACCATAGGCTTTCTTTTTAAAATGGATAAGATAGTAGTTCATCTTGCAATGGTCCCAATATAAGTCCCTTTATTTTTAGGGGAACAACAAGAAAATAATGTTTTATGAGCTATTTTCAACATTTTTTTTAAAAGTACACATATAAAAACACCTAACTTTTGACTGGGATGATGATATTTAATTCTAGAAGTTTTATTTAATAGAAACAGAATTAAAAGGGATGCTTTCAATAGTAAAGAAAATTTGGGAATCATTGTCCTGGTGGAATACTGTTTAGGGTTATACAATAAATTAGTGGCAGACTGAGGTAAATCCACTTCTCAGTGCTAGATCATAGCTCCACTTACTCTATCTTCATCCATGAAGAATGGACAGTTGTATAACATGCTGGAAGGATGAGGGGTGTGTTGAATATAAGAAATAAATAGACTTTTCCACTCTGCTTGTAACTAATGACTATTCTCAGCCAATCCAGCAGCTCTAAGAGGAGGTCATCATGTGGCTCTATGTCCCCTCCCCATGTAGCTGCAGATCCTGTCTGCACGGATGTAAGTAGCCAAGATGTTACCCTAGCCACTGGATAGACAAAGTGGCCATACAGAAATTGTAACTGAGAAAACATTTTACTTCCTAAGCGGTTTTGCTCATCAACGCATCAGGAGCCTCTGACTCTTCCCATGGCCCCCACTGAAAGAACACATACTCCCATACTTACTAAGTTCTATTAACAACGTATGTGGTATAATTGATTTCCTTCTTTGGACTCCAAGTGCAAGTTAAATTTTTCTTATAATATAATATACAAGAAATGTTTTCAGGCTTTGCTGGCAGAGCTAAAAAAAATTTACATAGACACAATTTTAGTACACAATAAATATTGTCATCATTAAAAATTTCATTGAAAACGGGCTTACCAAAAGCTGGGTTTGTTGGTTTAGTTGCTAGATAATAAGTTCTCCTAATCAGATTCATGAAGGACTCTAATTCTAGCTCTTCTAATTTTTTTATTATTCCCTTTGAAGAGTTAGAATTCTACTTTTTAATAATTATATTTTATATTCTTAAGAAACAACATTTGAGAAATAAAAATTATTTTTTAAAAAACAGGCAAATATTAAGCATTAGTTAAATACTAAGTAAATCATTAAATTATAGAACCATTCTGGATAATTGGGAAACAGATCATGTGAGCAAGCTCAAAATGCTGAACTATGCCACACTTCAACTGTAAGTTATTGATGCAAAAGATTCAATAATTGGAGATGGAGTAGTGGCTCAGTGGTAGAGCATTGCCTGGCATGTGTGAGGCACTGGCTTCAATTCTCAGCATTGCATATAAATAAATAAAATAAAGGTCCATTGACAACTAAAAAATATTTTTTTAAAAGATCCAATTATTTTCTTTTCCCAGAATATAGTATAATAGAAAAATATCTTCAGCTGCATTTTCATATCTTGTTCCAGATAGTTCCCCACCCAGGAAAATAACTAGATACAGGGATAAGAACCAGGATCTAGACACTTATGGAATCCATAGGTAGAATTCAGGGGTCCAGGAACTTTAATGGGAAAACATCTACATCTTTATTTTTCACTAATCTATTGTTGAAACTTAGAATTTCCTTCTATCATGAATGTAGTCAACAAACTACAATAATAATATATAATCATTATTATGTGTTTTGTTTAGTTTAGGCTCTTAAAATTTTTTAAAAGGCTCTAGATATGTGTATTTACATATATATTTATATATTTAATTTAAAAAATGAGCATTGTCTGCATGAGTAAAGGAGCCCCTAAAAATAACAAATAGGAATAAGAAGAGCCATATGCCTTCATATTATGTCAATATTTCTGGCTCTTTCCAGAGAAGTTGCTTCCTCTAAGTCCTTCACTTTGCTACTTGCATACCAAAAACCACAAGAAAGCTTTTGATCTCCAAGTCCAAATGCTTATCAAGACCAAAATTAATGGAACCTGAACCAAATAATACAGTTTATTACATGGAGACTAGAAGCTGCACCATTAACACATTCCACAAAGGGCCCACATAGTTTAAAACTTTCCCCGTGGAGTCCTTGGGTGGGTAAGAATATTCACAGACTCAACACTTCATAGCTGCCGTGGGGAATGTGCAAAGTCTAGAATAAGGGGAACTAAGGGCCAGTCAACAATGTCTTGAGAGTCTGGCACACTCACCAAGTCACTCCTATCTCCATGGCTCAGAGAGAATGTCAGTATGTGAATGTATGTGCATGTGTGTGTGTGCTATGTGTGATTTCACTCAGATATGAAATCCAAAAACGATGATCTCATAAAAGTAGAGCACATAATGGTGGTTACCAGGTGCTTGGGTGGTTAGGAGAAATGGGAGATGAGAAAATATCGGTCAAAGAATATAGAATTATAGATAGAAGTTATATTTTTTAATGTCCAGAGTAGGCACATAAATAGGGATAGAAAAGAGACAAGCAGTTTTCTTGGGCTGAAAACTATAGTAATAGCTGCACAATTCTGTAAGCATAACAATTACCAGTGTCTTATAAACTTTCTTTTTTTGTTTGTTTTAAAAAATTTTTTTAGTTATATATGGACACAATGCCTTTATTTATTTGTTTGTTTGTTTGTTTATTTATTTATTTATATGTAGTGCTGAGGATCAAATCCAATGCCTCATGATGCTAGGCAATAGCTCTACCACTAAGCTATAGCCCTAGCCTGGATTGAATATTTTCAACCGATAGATTATATCATATATGAATTTGATCTCAATTGTTTCTAAAGAATCTAATTCATATAGTATATAAAAGCAGCAGCTTTGGTTAACATATATTCAAAGTCATAAGCCATAAAATATGTCACATATCTGGTCTTCAGGACTAAAAATGTCACAGGTATTAGGAGAATAGAAAAAAAGTAACAAAAAAATGGAATTCCATTCAACCTGGGTTGTTTATATGGGGCTACAATTATTTTGCCCTTACTGCTTGCCATGTAGCAAGAGAGACCAATAGTCTAAAGAAGGACATTTGATACTGGTATTAGAAATTTGTGCTAAATAAAATGAATACTCATCAATATGTTCAATGTTCATCAATATGTCCTTCTCTTTGACATATAGGAAGATTTTATTTCCTTGGTGCTTTGAACTCAGGCGTGGGCATGCAACTCGTCTTGACCATTGACATATGAGAAGAAGGACTTAAACTCTGGTAAATAATGCCTTCCTTACCCTCCCACAGCCCAACATGTATTGATTCTTAATTTTTCAGCATAAAATGGAATGAAACTAACATATCTTAGATCTGTACAATATTCTATGGATATTAGGCCCGTAGTGTTGGGTTGGTACATCGTAGAAATATGCTGTTGCTTCATTTCCCTTTATATCCTTGGAATTTATGGCAAAAAAATGTAAAAATTGTCTATTTTTGTATTTACGTGTGTGTCTGTGTGTGTGTGTGTGTGTTATATAAATCAACACAAAAACTAAGGAGACAAGCTCTTATCATCATACTCTCACAGTGATCTTAACTTTTTGGAGGTCATATAAGCCATCTTGCCAAACTTGCATATATAGGGGTATATTTAAACTTTCAAGTACAGATGTGCTTATGTACACACACACACACACACAACATACACAAATTCAGGGCATTCACAAATTCCCTATTGTCTAGAAGTGGGTGTCTTTTGGCACTGAAGTTAAAAATTCTTTTCCAAAAAAGGCAATAGGATAACCACCAGATCCATAAAAGGGTCAGGCTGACCTACCTGTCAGGCTGAATTTGTAGAGTAAAGGAAGTATCCATAGTGTCAAGATCCACATTTTTCCTGAATTAGCTCACGAAAGCTGGAGAGAGAGAGAGAGCTGAAAATGCCACCAGAGAGATTATTTCCTAATTCTTTCCAACAACCCCTTTCAAGTGACAAACAGATACTTGGGTAGGAAGGGTTTTATTTTTATTCAATTTTATTCTGTTTTGTTGGCTGTGATAACATAAATCTCTTCATAATCACTCCATCAACCCCAGATGTTATCACACAAATGTGTGATAACAATATATTTTCCTTTAGTCCATACTGCACTCTACTATGTAATATGAAAACTACAACCACCACCAAGAATCTGCTTCATGAAAAAAAAAATACTGTTTCTGTTCCACTCTGAAGTCATCCTCGGGCCTTTGCCTCAGTTCCCAAGTATTCCAGCCAAATGGAACAACTCACAGTTTCCCAAAAGCACCATACTAGTCACATATCCATGCTTTGTACATTCATCCAATGCCCCTTTCCCTTTGTGATATTATTATTATTATTATTATTATTATTATTATTATTATTGTCTTCATCAAAACTGCCTCCCAAGACAGGTCATAGAAACTAGAATTTCTCTTTTCCAAGTTGGGTCATAGAAACTCAAACCTTCTTCTGCTTTTGTCTTGGAGCTGGACATAATGAAATTCTCTGACCTATTCAATAGACCATACGACTCCCCTCATCCACAGGGATCCTTCCCCATACTCTTTAGGAAAAAACACTATACATACAGGTTTTGTTGGTTTTTTTCCAGTCTATTAGAAATCATGCCTATGCAATTAAGTCTCCATAAAAATCAAAAGGACAGGGGTCCAGGAGCTTCCAGATAGCTAAACAGGTGGACATTCCTAAAGAGTGGTGGAAGTTCTGCACCCCTCCCCCAATATCTGTATTCTTTGTAATATTATTTATAATATGGTATATATAATATAACCTTGTATATATACATAATATTGTATGTAATATATGTATTATTCTTTATAATAAACCAATAAACCTGTTTCCCTGGGTTCTGTGAGCCATTTAAACAAATTAATTGAATCCAAGTAGGAAGTTGTAAACTCCAACTTCTAGCCAGTCAATCAGAAGCACAGAAAAAACAAACTAGGTTTTATCGTGGCATCTAAAATTGGGGAGAGGGATTTTTGGAGACTGAGCCTCCAATATGTGGGATCTACTGCTACCTCCAGCAGAATATAATTGGATTACAGGATACCCAGCCATATCTGCTGCTGCAGAACTAATTGTTTGTTTGCTGGTGGGAGAAATCCCTACCCACCTGATGTCAGAAGAATTATGTGATGATTATGGTATGAGATTAGAAGAAAATCAAGACATTTTGTTTTTCCTGACACACACCCTTATTCCTGGGCAAATTAAACATCTTCCAAACTCATCTCAAAGCTAGCCTTCTCTAAAATGCTGTCCCTGAATTCTCACACAGAGCTGAGCAGTCAATCCCTCCTTTGAGTCACCCCTTCCAACATGTCGTCTGTGCTATGGCCCCTGTCACAGAAAATACTGTGTAATAGTTTACTTGCTAACTTCCCCATACACAGCCAGTTTTGTGAAAGTGAAACCTCTCTGATGCCTCTTTGAGGCCTTGTTATTCAAGGTAATGTCTGTTACATGTTAGACATTCAATATTGCTTGTATATCCTAGGGGCTTATTAGGACAAAAAGATTCCTGGCTCCTTGTCTTATCCTAGATGAGATGGTGACAGAGTCTAAAAACAAAAGACATGCAAAAACAGTAACTCATTGTTTCAGAAGAAATGAATGATGCTACATTTCATTTGACACATCCATAAGGAAAAAGGGTTTTCAATAAAATAAATCATTTCAGAAAAGGTCACATGCAGTTTTTACAAAGATAAAATTTTCCCATATATAAACCAACTGAAATATATAAGTAATCCAACATGCCTGAAGTGATAAAGCAGAATGAGAATGTAGATTTATAAACATAAAGATATCATCAATAAAGACTGGTCACAGGCTTCCAGGTAAGAGGTGGAATAAAAGTGTCTTTTATGTGATTTACAAGAGTCAGGGCAACAAAAGAGAAATCATATTTTCAGAAGAAAAAGAGAGGAAGGGCCCTGAGAATGAAGAAAGAGGTAATGGGAAAACTAAAAAGCAGAGAAAAACAAAAAGGCAACTCAGAGAAAAGCATAAAGCAATCCATGACCCTAACCCTGGCCCCAGGTAGGGAGGGAAACCTGATGATGCTGCAAGTACGAGTTATTGTTACCATGGTTTGTTTTCTCCTGAGTTGTACTGGGGACCAAAGCCATCAAGTAAAGGATGCTAAGATGATCCTCACATAAAAGTGGAAGACAGAACCCTCTCAAAAGATGCACAAATCTCAATACAGAAACACAAGAAACACACACACACAAAAATGAAAAAACAAGGCAATATAACTCTTCCAAAGGTTCATAACTCTTCAATAACTGAACCCAAAGACATCAAAGTAGATAAAATGCCAAAGAATTCAAAAGATTGATTTTTAAAATGATCAATGACATCAAAGAAGATACAAATAAACCACTGATGAATTAAGGAAGAGAATACAAGATTTGAGAAAACAATTCAATAGAGATGACAATTCTGAAAATAAACTAGTCATAAATCTTAGGGAAACAAAAAACTCAACTGCAAACCTCACCAATTATTTTGATTTGGTTATGAGGAGTCCCCCAGAAGCTCGTGTGTGAAAAATGCAGAAATATTCAGAGGTGAATTGATTAGATTATGAGAGCTGTGACCTAATATATGGATTAATTAATTAGATGGATTAATGATTTGAATGAATCAATGGGTGATAATTATAAGCAAGTAGGGCATGAATGATGGAACTAAATCACAGGAGGTTTCCCTTGGGAATTTATTATCCCTGACTCCTTGCACTCAAGATCTCTGATTGCTGGCTGTCATGAATTGAGTAGTTTTTCTCTGTCACGCCCTTCTGCATGATGTTTTGCCTCACCTTAGGCCCAGAACTATGCAGTTGGCCAACCATGAAGTGAACCTCTTAAATTGTGAGCCAAAATAAACTTTTCCTCCTTGTCAGGTCTTTTGGTCACAATGATAAAAAACTGATTAACATAAAAATACCAAGATTTGAAGACAAAGATTACAAATTATCACATTCAGAGAGTATTAAAAGGAAAAAAGAAATCACAAACAGGACATACAATACCTATGGGATAAAATTTAAAGACCAAACCTAAATAATTGGTTTAGACAAAAGAGCCAAGGTACAGACTAGAGGCATAGAAAAATCTGTTCCATAAAATAACAGGAGAAAATCTCCTTAATCTTAGGAGATGCTTACATCAAAGTAAAGGATTAATTTAGATAATGACCAGAAAAACAACATCTCCATGTCATATTGTAGTTAAATTGCCAAAAGTACACAACAAAGAAAGAATATTGAAAGCTGAAAGAGAGAGGTGCCAAGTCATTTATTAAGGCATATCCATTATATTAACATCATATTTCTCACCAGAAACTCTAAAAGCCAGGAGGGTGTAAAGTATTATAATTCAAATCCTACAAACAAAACAAACTGCTAATCTTCCAGCAATCTTTCAGAATTGAAAGTGAAATAAAACCTTCCAAGATAAGCATAACTAAAGGAATTAATGATCACTAAATCGGAATTACAGAAGATACTTAAGGGATCCTATACATAAAGGATAAGGCAAGACAAACACAATCATAAAAGCATGGGAAAGAATAAATCTTACTAGAAAAGTTCACAATCAAATGAGAATTAAGAATCAAACAAGATTTGCATTGTTGGTGGGACCACAAATTAGTGTGAACACTTTGGAAGGCAATATGGAGATTCCTCAAAAAATTGGGAATGGAACCACCATATGGCCCAGCTATCCCACTCCTTGGTATATATCCAAAGGACTTCAAACCATCATACTACAATGACACAGTCACATCAATGTTTATAGCAGCACAATTCACAACAGCCAAGCTATGGAGCCAACTGAGGTGCCTTTGAACAGATGAATGGATGATGGAAATGTGGCATATGCACAATGGAGTATTACTTAGTCATAAGGAAGAATGACTTTATGGCATTTGCCCATAAATGGACGGAACTGGAGACTACCATGCTAAGTGAAATAAGCCAGTTCCAAAAAATCAAAGGTCAAAGATTTTCTCTGACATGTGAAAGGTAATTCCAAATATTAGGAGAGGGATAAAAAAAAAGAATAAAAGAAAGATCAGTAGACAAAGAAATAAACAAAGGGGAATGGAGGAAAAGGAAGAGGGATGGATAAAGCAAGACAATGGAATGAATCTGACCTAACTTTCCTATGTACATATACTAATATACCACAGTGAATCTCACCATCATGTACATCCACAAGACACTAATTTTTTGAAAAACTATGAGTAAATAGCAGAAAGAACTGTAAGTAGAGGGAAGAGAACAGGGGGTAAGAGAATGGGTAGAGAAGGGGAAGTACTGGGAACTCAATTAGAACAAATTATATTCCATTGTTTTATAATTACATCAAAATGAATTCTACTCTCATGCATACATAATTTAAAAAACAATAAAAAGAATCAAATATGGCAATATAATTCAACCATGATTAATTCAGTAAACCATAAAAATGAGAAGAATAGGAGAGAAAGAAATGAACTTAGATCATTAAAAACAACCAGAAGAAAAACAACAAACTGACAGGACAAGTCAATAACCCTAAATGAAAATAGCCTGAATTCTCTAATTAATAAACACAGACTAACTGATTGGATTTTTAAAAGGACCAACTGTTGGCTGTCTGCAAGAAACTCTCCTTGTGAGCAATGATATACAGAATAAACTACCACAGACTGAAAATGAAAAAAATATAGAACAATATTCTAATCAAATAGTATCCCAAATCAAGCAGGAATAGCTACACTCATATCTAACAAAATAGAAGTTAAGCCAAAATCAGTCAGAAGAGACAAAAAATGGAATATCCATCAAGA